GGGAGATGGGGTGGGGGGTAGGTTGGGGGTGGGGGAGGAGGGATAGGGGTGAGGGGAGGGAGAGGGAGAAGGGACTTACATGTGAAACAAGCTTGATTCCTAACTTGAACTAATAATAATAAAAAAAAAAGTGTGGGCCCAGGGGACATAGTGAGGAAGGAACTACAGGGGTCTGGGGTCCACAGCAGAGAGTCACTCCACTGTGACCATCTTGCCCCTCTACTTTTTTCCCTCACTCCTTCATCCCTCAACTAGCGCCTTCCCATTCTCACTCCTTCAGCACAGCCTGGCAGAGATGTGAGCTGACTAACTTCCACACAGAGGCTGATCCCTCATTCCATGCAATGGCTGCAGAACCTGTGGAGGATGGTACTTCCTGGTCCCACCTCGCTGACTGTGTGGCCCTAGAACAGTCCATGCCCCAGACTCCAGGGCTCAGCCTCCCCACTGAACCCCAGCCCTCTCACCTCTTCGCCTTTTGATCCTTTAGGCCCTGGCTGTCCCCGGGGTCCTGGATGCCCCTGCAAACCAAGGTGAGATGACAGAATCTGGCCCCAGACCTCTCTCCTGGAGAGAGTGGCCAGTCTCCACCTGGAGGGAGATGAGTGGGGAGGGGCTTGGGGGTGCAGACTCTTGGGGGTACAGACTCTTGGGGAACTTCAGGGTCAGGGAGGGGCTGCCTCCTCACGTCCTCCTACAGGGCAGATCCCTTTAAGTTTTAAAAGGCTCTGTTCTGTCATTCCTGATGCTCCACCCCGCTTACAGCAAGAAGATATAGGACTCACAGGCTGGCCCTGCTGGCCCGGCTTTCCACGGAGGCCTTGAACTCCCTCTTGACCCTGAAAGTCAAGGAGAGACAGGTGAGGTCCTTCTGAAGTGGCCAGGGAACCACTGTTCTCCCTGGCAGCATCATTGACCCACTCTAAGTTCTAGCTTTCTTAGCTGCTAAGTGGGTGGAACAGCAATTGACCAGCTTGAATGGAGGGAAAAGTAATGGTTGCTTCTGCTAGGAAGGCTGTTACAAGACACAAATGGGGAAACTGAGCCAGCCCTCCACTCCTCACTTACCAGGAGAAGTGACTACTCAATATCATGCTGGAAGGAAACTCAGCCAATCTGCTGGCTGTGTGGATGGCTCATGTCCCGGATCTCACCCTCCTATCCCTCAGCAGAGGTCAGGCCTTTCCTTCGTGGTGTTAACCTGGCCTCATAAAGGGTGCTCTCTGCCCCTTCTGAATGGTGGAGGAATGAAGGTGGGGGCAGGAGCCTGTGTCCAGTGGAGACCTCTGTCCCTCTTCCCACTTTCCCTACCCTCCCAAAGGTAGAGCTCTGATGCTTACAGGGTATCCAGGGTCACCTGGCTCCCCACGGTCTCCTCGATCTCCCACAGGACCCTGAATGACAAAGACAATGGATAAACATGAGCCCCAGCTTCTGTGAACTCTCAGTAGCCTGTGCCTTGTTACATTGAGAGGTCAGAGGAACAGAAAGGAAACTTACCCGATCTCCAGGTGGCCCAGGGGGCCCCTCAGCCTTGCCATCCTCGCCCTGTTCCCCCTGTGGACACCACAGAACCAGCATTAGGCAAGGACCACTCTGGGAGTTAGTGAACTGCAGGCCGGAAGGCACCTTCCTCAGGGATGAAGGCCAGCCTCCGTAGGCAGGCAGACTAGGAGACCAGCGGTCAAAATTGCCATTGTAGGTAAGAGTGGCGACAGTGTCCACACGCCACATGGATGCCTAGGACAGGCTGAAAGAGGAGCAGAGACTAGAGTGGAGACCTTGGGCCAAGGCAGGCCAGCCTGGGCCCTGGTCCAGCTGTGGGATGGCTCTTATCAGCCACACAGATGGTTGAAATGCTGCTGAACAGGTCAGAAGGCACTTTAGGGCTCAGACTCCAGCCTCAGAAAACTAGTGTTACCTCTCCTGGGAACCCCTCTGGACTCTAGCCAGGGTACTCTGATCCCCCCACTGCCCACAGAGTTGGAAGGAAGCATGAGGGACAGGAAGAGGGAAATGGTCAGAACTGGAATACAGCCCTGGCCAGTCTGAATGTTGGTATCCTACCCTCAACTGGGGCCCTATGGCCCTACAGGCAGCAGTTAAAGACAAGTGAGACCCAGCCAGGCACCTAGAACAAACTGTCCTCACAGATGTGGGCTTCATTCCTGCCCAAGATCTTTATCCAACTGTGAATGATGTCAGGGGACCAGACATCTTCAGTGGGCACCAGGGCTTACCAGATAGTCTTTGGTTAGGCACGTGTAGTTCATTTCATATATTGTTTTACAGATTCTGCAGCAACCCTCACTTTACAGAATAGGAGAACGGGGCCCATGAAAAGAATCATCTTAGTCAGGGCCAATCAGGAATGCCCCAGCCTGGGCCCTGGTCTAGCTGTGGGCCCAGCCTGGCTGCGGTGGGGACATAATCCAAGCATTTAACATTAGTGAACTACTTCATGTGGCCTAGTTCTGAGTCTTGTCCCCTCCATCTGGCCACCTGTATAGACAAGGATACTATCTACCAGTGCAGACTGGTTCATACTCTGGGTCTGTTGCTAGCTAGTGACGTGGGGCCCAGCAGCACCTCCTACCACTGTTTAGAGGCAGACCCCTATGCTCTAAGAGGCTGGTTGTCTTCACCTGTTTTGGGAAAATCCTTGGAAAAGAGCAGGGCTTCCGCACACCTCCCTTGCAACCCATTCCCCATCCCAGCACCAGCCAGTCTGTGGTTGGCTGTTCATTACCAGATGGCCATGAGCCACAGAACAAAATTCCAATCAACAATGAGCTATGCACATGTACACTCCCACAGCTTATGTCACCTAAAGATGTCATAGCCCTCTACTGTATGCCAATACATTTTATGGAGACTACCTCTAACCCGGAGTGGTGGCACTGGCAGCTCCATCTCCACTTGGCCCCAGGGTTTGTGTTCACCGTCTGTGGCATCCCTGGAAGCCTTATGATGGCTGAGGAGAGCCGAGGGCTTGAGTGTGCTCTATCCAGCCTCTCGGGACCATGCCAGGGCCTGCTTGGACCACTGTACTTGCAGATCTGTACTTATCCCGGCAGGAAGGAGGGGCCCAAGGATAGCATGCCAAGTCAGTGTGACTCACCACAGCGGGACTTAGTTAGTGGGGAGCTGAGTCGGCAAAAGAAACGAGGGTTGGAGAGGCCAGGGACAAGGAGGCAAAGACACAGCCTGCTAGGAAGCATTCCAGCCACGAGAAGGGAAAGGAGGGGGAAGAGGGAGAATGGGGAACCCAGATTTCTGGCTCCAAGTCCACTGGGCATCACTGGAGACATGACCCAGGGGCCATTCCTTACAGCTTCGGGCCCTCGTGTGCTCCTTTCTGTGAACAGTGTTCACGACCAGCCAAGATTTTCCTCTGGCAATTTCTCTAGAGCCCCAATAGGAGGGCACACATCCCCCGGGGCCCTCACCCTCCTCCTGAGCCTTCTCCTTCATCAGCGTCCCTCCTTCCTGGAACTGAGTGAGCTGCTTGTGTACAGTTTCAATGCTACTGCTCACAAGCATGAGGGAATAACAGAGACTTGGTTCATGACACCCTGCTCGTTTCTGCAAGGTGAACCTGAAGCCATAAGCACAGGATGTCATGTACGACTCCTCGCTACTCCATCCCCAAAGCCCCAGAGCTGGTCTTGACTCTAGCTACTGCTCTAAGATGCAACACCTACCTTCTGGCCTTTGGGCCCAGGAGGCCCAAGAGGTCCTGTGATGCCTTTGTGTCCCTGCAGGCAAATAAAAGGAGAGAACTGAAGAGGGCTTGAGGATACAGGAGGGACAAATGACAAAGGACAGAGACTCAGTGATGGGGACAGTATAACAAACAGAATACCACCCCTGCCTGGCTTTCCAGATATGCCTGTTGGTTCCAGACACACTTCTAATCCTGTGCCAACTTGGGTAGTAGGGCCCCGCTGTGGTGCCCCGGGGCAGGCAGTGGTCAAAGGCAGGGGACCACTACCTTAGCAGAGTGGTGGGAAGAGGCCACCTGACAACTGCAGATGACTCTGTGTTGGCACCCCCTCGCTAGTCTTCCTCCCATTTCTTTGTCTTCTTTTTTTCCTGCTGTGTCTCCTGAATTCCCTGGGTCTGGCAAGGGCCAACATGGCTAGCCAAAAGCACCAAGCTGCTAGGCCTGGACTGCACATGTGTTCTTTGACTGCTCTGAGTCCCCATTCCTTTCTAACCAAGACTGTCCCTCGGAGCCCTCATCTCCTGAATGTGTATGGAAGATCTGGAAGCACAATGCTCCCTCTTTAGAGGACAAATAAAGCTGGGATATATATGGAGCACCCACCATCTTCTGTATTCTGTGAATATATGTCTTTCTTATTAGTTGATGAATAAATGCTGATTAGTCATTAGCCAGGCAGGAAATATAGATGGGGCTACCAGACTAGGAGAATTCTGGGAAAGGAAAAAGGCAGAGAAACAAGTTGACAGGGAGTTGCCATGTAGCTACAGGGGCGGGGAGGACGCCAAGAATTCTCCTATAAGCCAAGACCACATGGAGATACATAGATTAATAGAAATTAAGAGAGAGCTAGCCAATAAGAAGCCTGAGCCATTGGCTAAACAGTTTATAATTAATATAAGCCTCTGTGTGTTTATTTGGGACTAAAAGGCTGCAGGACCAGATAGGACAGAAACCTTCATATACAGCTGGAAGGACTTGAGACCTGGGGTGGATACTGGCACTCTCTCTGCCCTATCACTGCAGTTCTACCCTTACCCCACCCTAATCTATGGGTCCAGGAGTCTTGTGAGGCTATGAGACCTGGATCTCCTCCCTTCTGGTGGGAAGGATGTCCAGGATGCAAGAGCAGACTTCCAGGGGGTAGGAAGGAGATCCCCCTAAATGGGGGTTACTTACATTATAACCAGCCAATCCTGGCTCTCCTTGGGCTCCCATCCGTCCTGGAGCACCCTAGAGAGGAGAAGACCCTTGCTGGTATGCAGTATGGCTCCCACAGCAGGGACATGGTGGTGATTCCCTCCCCTGACAGAGCCACTCAGCTCAGCCACTCAGCCACCCTGGCACATACAATGATGTCTTGAACCAAGGAGGACAAGGCAGAAGGCAAGAGGACTCTTTTCTGGCCTCTACTGACTTAGCCCTTCCTTCTCTATGCTCCTATATTATATGAAAATGTAGGTGACATTTTCAAGAACCTTTATAACTACCTGAGGTAAGCCACTGTTAGTGCTCAAACTTGTGAGACTTGCAGTTAATGAGTATTATTAAGGGGCCTTCCCCCACACTGCTTCCTCCATCCAATTGCTACCCATGCTTGCATTGCCTGAGTCTGGACTCCAGGGTAAAGCACTGTCTAACGGGTGCTATTGTGTGTCTCCCTAGCTTTTACCCATTACATCACGTGTGTGGCAGGAAACCACCACCATAAAGCTTTACCACGTAAAAGGGTACCGCTCCATTTGTCCAAAGATGTCACAATCCCTCCTCTGTCACCTCAGCTATCACACTCTTTTGCTTTGGCTCAGGACAGTCTAGCAGGGCCCTGAGACACTTCCTGCCATCTAAGGACCTGCAGCACCTCACTCTGTCTGTAGCCAGGGATCTGGCTCCTTCCCCACCCCTCAGCAGAGTTTTTTTTTCAACCAGGGATTACAGAAAGCAGCAGGGACTCACTGCAGTCTGCAGTTGGCAAGGTACATTTTGCCCGCCATGCTTGTGTGTATTCAGGAGCTGTAGCTTTGGGCTGTTCTCAGAGGGATCTGGGGTAGAAATGAGGTGAGTGGAACAGGAAAGCTGGGGGGTTCAGAACAGTGGGGTGGGTGATTCTTACAGGGGAGCCCCTCCCTGTTCTTGTTCCCTCCTCCAAGCCCAGATCCTCACCATTGGTCCTAGGGTGCCCCGGGACCCTTTAGGACCTGGGGTGCCAGGAGGCCCGGGATCTCCAGGGGTGCCCATCTCCCCCAGCTGTCCTTGGTAGCCCTTGGCACCCTGAAGAGAGAGAGAAAAAGAGGATTTGCCTGTGGCCGCTGGCCCTGGAAGGTGGGTGGGGAGGGAGGTGACCATTGAAGGCAGGGGACCTACCTTAGCTCCCATCTGGCCCTTCTCACCCTGCTTGCCGGGCTTTCCTTCAGGACCCTGAGGAGACACAGAAGCAAGAGCAGGAGAAAGTTGAGGACTGAGGGAAGGAGGGCAGCTCTGAGAAGCATCGTGATTGGGAGTTCAATGCCTGGTTCCAAACCCATGTCACTCAGTCTCTATGTGGCAGTGAGGATAGCCTAACTTCCTGACTGGCATCCTGGTCTGTGTCATGGGCACAGCATTTTAGGTGGCCTCACAGAGCTTAAGGATTCAAGTTGTTGACATGGCACATTCACAACAGTGTCAGCTACAGCAGGTGTTTCCAAGGGCAAGGGTCTCCTGCTGCCTCCACCATTGACCTAGTTATCTGAAGCACAGGGACCAGCTCTCTGTACTGAGTCCTCCAAAAAGACTCCTTTACAATCACCTGTTTCCTTGATGAGGGCTTGGCCCAGGTCCTATTGGTGCATAGCTGGCCCTGATAGAGTAACCAAGTGGTTTTGTCCACATCCCAGTCACTGTTGTAGGCTCCCTGTGGGGGGTGTCTTCTCACAGTGGGCATCATGCTGGAACACAGATGCCCTCCCCCCGCAGGTACACAGGCCATTCCCTCTGTAGGTCAAATGTGCACATTTTCTGAAGTCTAGGCACAGATCAAGTGTTCCCAGGAAGAATAACATCTGAGCTGGGGTATCTGTGAGTCTGCAAAACTTAGTACAGTTTTATTCTATTTTATCACATTACCATTTATTTGTATTTTGCATGTAGCAGGGAGCACATGCCACAGGGCGTGCGTGAGGTCAAAGGACAACCTATGGTAGTCCCTTCTCTTCTTTCACCATGGGGGTTCCAGGAACTGAACTCAGGTTGTCAGGCTTGGCAGCAAGCCCCTTCACCTGCTGAGCCATTTTGCTGGGCCCTATTGATGCTATCTAAATATTGATACTATGTTGAAAGACTATTTCTCATACACCAGGCTGAGGAAATGTCACTTCCATTCATTCCATGTCTTCATTTCTCCCTTTGAATTGCTCACTGGAGGACTTTAAGGTACACACAGTGCCAGCTGAGCAGCAATGCTACTGTGCCAATAATAAAACCCTCATCGCTATGACCCTCTTTCCATAGCTTCTTAGGCACCATGTCCTGCCTCAATATGAATCTCAGAACTGGTACAGTGGCAGGGGGATGGGACCAGGCCTCTGTGGGGATAGGGGACCCTGTTTAAAGGGGCCCCTCCAACTTTAAGTACCCCGTGTGAAACTCTGAGATCATTAGAGTACCTGGGTCCTGTCGCAGATAAGCGGAAATCACCTATTGTTGAGGACACAGCTACAGTGTTTCCAGGCAGCTTGGCCACTGTGCATCACAATGCACTTATGTAAAAACTAAGATAGCATCACCAGTCTGTACAATCTTATGTGAGCCCTAGTGTATGCACAGTCCCTCGAGGATGAAGTATCGTCACATAGCGTGTGACCACAGCCACATTTCTAGAAAGGCCCTGGTGGCTTATAAAATGCTATTTTCAAGTAAGCTGCTTCTCCAGGCCGCAGAGAAGGAAGCATTTCTCTAGGCTAGCGATGCCCTGCCAGCCTTGGCATCTGAGAACTGTGAGGGACCACTGAATAACAATCTCCCACTGCCGTCATAGCGACCACAGCCATGCGACCAACCACAGCCACCACCAGCAGCTTCTACGTATTTTTTCCTCCAAACTTTCCTATTTCGGTGCAGTTTTGTAAAGGGTTTTTTCTTACTCGATGTTTCTCTGCCCCACTCTCTGGTGTATGTATGTGTACTGTGTGTGCATCTGAGTATATGTGTACATGTCTGGTGTGCATATGTGGAGGTCAGTGGACATTTCCTGGAAAATTCAAACTCACACTTGTGGAGCAAACACTCTACCCACTAGAGCATCTCCCTAGCTCCTCATTTCTGCTTCATAGCTGAGAATACCAAGGCTGAGTGAGGGGCAGCAGTTTTCTCAAGCCGGGAACCCATGTTTGCCCTTTGAACTCAGGTTCTAAGCCTGGATCTATGTCAGTTGCTCCCCACTCCACAGCAGAGCCACACACTCACTGAGAGAATGGCCTTAGGACTTTGGAGCTCAAAATAACCCTGGCATCCATTCTTTCCAAATTTTCAGCATAGCAAGACTGAGGCCAGAGAGGGCCAGGGGCAACTGCAAAGTCTCTCAGGGGGTTAATGAGGTGAAGGGCCACCCCTTTCCTGCTAAAGTCCTTCTCACCCACATCCCCAGGACTGAGGAGCAGCAGCAGGCGGGTCTGACAGGCGCCCTGCCTACACTCTTGGGCTGGGCAGTGACCTCATCCCCTTGCTTCTGAGGGTGATTAGCACTTTGGCTCTATTTTTAGGTAACAAATATTTTCCCACAGCCAGTATGTTGCTGGCTAATCTGGATCCCTCCCAGACTGGACACTTCAATGGCTCAGAAGCCATCAGGAGTAGGCCAGAAGAAACAAGGGCTGCTGAGCCCAGGTAACTGCACAAATCTGTCATTGGTGAGCAGGCAGATGGGGGTGGGGCAGTAGGTAAGCATCCAGCTCCAGGAGTTTGGCTAAGGCCAAGGTTGGCTCAGAGCAGACACCTGCAGCCCTGACACTCCAGTGGCTTGTTGCAAGGTGGCCAGATTCCAGGAGCCTGGCAGAACACTGAGCTGGCCACAGAGTCCTGCTCCACACACACCCTTGGCCATCAGACAAGTACCGGAATACCTTACCTTCCATCTGTCCTTGTCCCAGTAACCTGTTCAGGCTCTGAATTCCAGTGAGGTCACAGCAGAGGGACAGGATGTACATACAGGTGTTGAAATCCTGGCTTACTGTTTCTTACTGTGTGACCCGAGCCAGGTTCCTTTACCACTCTGAGTCTCTAGCCCTCAGGGCTGCTATCTAATTAAAGAACACTCTGGAAAACACTAGGTATGCTGTCTGCAAACACTGAAACAGAATAGTTTCTGTCCTCTACCAGGGTTCCGGGACTTGGGGGAAGATACTCATGGTGTCTGTGGTCAAGACTGAATAAGGTTCTTCCTGGGTGAGGGGCAGTTTCTGTCTTCTCAGTCTACTATGTGGCACCCCTTTAGTGTCACAGAAGGGAAGCATGAACCTAAGTCACACAAGGTTTTGGCTTCCTTGGGCACTTAGCCAAGTGTCAGGGATGGCTTTCAAGGCTAGGAACTGTCTGGGAGGACAGTTGGAGGCACACAGGGGTATAAGAAGGATAGGAAAGAAGACTGATGAGCAGGTACAGAGGCCCTGAGGCAGGTCAAGCTTGTCCCAGGAGCTACGAAAACAGGCTGGATGTGGAGTTGGATGGGATGAGGTTGCAGGGCCACAGGGAACAGTTTTTCCTGAGGGCACAGGAGGCCCTACAGGAGGGGTGAGCAGGGAAGGGACAATCTAGAAGACTTCTCAGGAGCCTGGACAGGTACGAGCTTCTCTCCCCGAGAGCCCCATGCTGCCACCAGATGCACACTCACCCGGATGCCAGTGATGCCTGGGGGCCCAGGGAGCCCATCTTCTCCTTTCAGTCCCTCCTGGCCCTTCTCACCACGCTCACCATCAGGCCCTGGGTCACCTTTGTCCCCCTGGGTTGGGGGCAACAGTAAGAGAGAGAACACCAAAACCCAGGTCATCAAAAGCTCTACACCACAGGTCACCTGGAAACTTGGAGCCAGTGAGTTGCCCTCTGTGCCTTCAGTACTGGAGTCAGCCTCACCAGAGCCTTTCCCTGGAGGTTCTCTTTTGGCTTTATCTACAGATGAAGAAACTGAGGCAGAGCTAAGTAAAGTCAGTTGGCCCCCAAGTCCCACCCTTTGGAGGACAGTTAATTTTCGGGTGGCACCAAGTCCTGGAAAATGGAGGTCCAAGGAAGGAACTCTTGTGAGTTAGGAAGGGACTCCTCGAGACTGAGGGAGGGAGACTGTAAAAGTCAGTCATATGAAGGGACTCCTTAGGCAGGCTTCAAGGACCCAAAGTAAAGGCGTTGTGGGTTCTCCATGAGCACTGGTTTTGCAACAAATAGTGGGTGTACCCCTTGATGGTGTTCTCTAGTTTTCTCTTCTTCTTCACCATCCTTCACTGGGCAGAACCGAACTGCCTGGGCCCCTCCAGGGCGGGTATGGGCTATGGCTCTGGCAGTGGCTGCAGAGCCAAGCAGTGTCCATCACAAGTCTGTTTTTGAGGGGCTGCCAGGCATGGAGCCTGTGGCATGTTTGTGTGGCCTAGCTGTAACTGTTGTAAGTCTTGAGAGGAAGACGGCATCCCGTGGCAAGCAAGGGGGTGGAGCCAGGAATTGGGGGGCTGAGGAGAAGGCTTGGGATGGTACAGTGTTGTCTTGCAATAGTTAATGGGGGATACTGATAACTGCACCCGGGGCTCAGAGCAGCTGTGGGAGGGGGGAAGATGGAGTGTGGCTTGGCCTGGCCAGGAAGAGAGGCTCAGGATACAGATGTGATGGCTGGAGCCTGACCTTCGAGGTAATGAGACTGGCATGAGGAGTTGTAGGTACTTTCCAGCTTGGCCTGGGGGACAGTCACGGATGACACATGAGGGAGGACAGCTCCAACTGAGGAACGGACCAGCTTAGAGCAGAGTCGGCATGCGGATAGTCTGTATGGTCCCTTTCCACTGAGCGTCTCAGATTCCAAGCACAGCCTGGCACTGAGACCTGTTGGCCCAGACCCAGCTCTCATAGATTCCTCTGGCTCTGGGACTGCACTTCTGGCTTGGCATTCTGGCCACTTGCTGCCTCATTTGAAGGCCGGTTGCTCCAGGTAGCCAAGCTAGGCTTAGGCCAAAACTAGTGTCCAGTGACTCTCCATGGCCTGACTCCCACACAGCTGGAAAGGGAGGGGGTACTCTGGTGCCCATGAGAATAGGTTGTAAGGGTCCCTGAAGACTTCTGGAATACACGATATCTGCCAAGGCTCAGAAAGCCTTCTGGGTGGCCTGTCTTAACCCTCCCAGTCCACAGATGGAAGAACTGAGGATGGAAGTGGAGGCCACAAGACTACCTAATTGAGAGGGCAGCATTCTGAGCTGGGGCAGGGGTGGGGGGCGGCAGTCTCCCTCACACTCAGGTCACCATCCTTGAACTACGCTCAATAGCTGCAACTCTGGCCAGCTTGATCAAATGAGCCTGTACAAATGGAATACGAGAGACTGTGCACTTCACTCAGTACAGCCCCTGGCAGTGTGTGATGTGGGTGACTGCCACCTTGGCCGTTAGCAACAGAGATACTGCACAGGACAGCACTGTGAAGGGCTGCAGCCACCAAAGAAGCAGCTTCCTCCGTGAAGGCGCTCCACAGACATGCACTTTAGGGAGCAAGTACACTTCCAGGACCACTCAAAACCATGAATGTGCCAGACATCTGAGTGACCACTCCAGTCCAAGGACAAGGGTGTGGTTGGTCATGGAAGCCAGAGGCAAGAGTTGTGAAAAGCAGAGGTCGAGAGACTGCGAAAAGCCTGGACCTGTTCTCCTGTCCTCTGTGAAGAAGACTGCAGGGGAAGGGATGAGGAGGTTGTGGCCCCAGCCTCAGATTTCTCATTTCTCCAGCGGGGATGCTGATGTGTCCAGCTGAGAGGCTGCTGGAGCAGCCTGAATGAGTTCATTCTCAGCAAGCCCTTCCAGTATGACATGATTGGCACTACTTGCACACACAGTGTTTGCACCATTAGATCTATTGGTACCACCACCGGGTATGGCCAGCACCTGGCCAAGGAAGTCTCTGAACAGATTCCCCCCACAGTTCTAACTAACAGGAGGAGCAGAGCTGGGAGTAAGAGCAAGTAGATAAGTGGACAACAGGGGGCGCTCTTTCACTTGCAAGGAAAACAGAAGAGCTGACAAGGCACCGGGGTGGGGGCAAAAAGTCCTCTGGACCCAGGGCTACTGTGGGGTGGGCAGGGCATGAGGGCCTAGCTCTGGGGTTGTGAAATTGGGACTCAAGGAGTAGAGGCGCTTCTATGAGATCTGTAGAGGGCAGGTTAGAGGGGACTATAGAGGGTAGTCTCTCCTTAGTCATGGTGTGACCCGAACAGCCCAGAGAAAGACTCCCTGGGGAACAAGGCTCAGAAGGAGATGGGAAAGGCCTGGGGCCGAGAGTGGGGCTACTATATCTACTCATCATCTGCCTGCTGGCAGCTTGGTGAAAGCCCACAGCTCCCACAGGGAGCAGCAGGACCCATGGAAGCACCTGCAATCCACTGGCCCTTCGCTCACAGCCAGACCATTGCCCTGTTATTTTCCTGTGAGCCTCATTTTTTTTCTCTTCTCCTTCAGAATGGGTGTGCAGTCCAGCAGAGCCAGAGGGGATTTGGGGGGCAGAAAGGCCTTGGCTTGCATGTTGGATATGCAGATAGATAGTGGCTGTGTGTTACAGCAAGCCTTTTAACTTCCCTGTGTCTGTTTCCTCTCTGAAGACTGTCCTCTGCTAGCAACAATGACGGTGACACATAGAGGGCTCAGCATCATGCCTGGCACCCCAGTGACTACTGTCTCTTGAGTGGTGGCTTATAGACCTTGTCGATGATCAGAACTTTCCAGATCTTTAAAGCCATTTGGAAGGGAAGGGATAACAGAGCCCCATGCTGGACTTAGCTGACAGAAGCTGGTGTTTTCATGGGAGTAGGGAAGACCCAAGGTGACACTAGGCCAAGCCCCAGGGGAGTTGGCAGTGGGGTGGGTGGGTAGAGCAAGGGCAGCCTTGGCTCTGCTGGTCATTCCCACTGTCCTCTACAAAGGAGATCTGGTCTCTTGGTACTCTGTGAGAGCTAGAGCAAGAATAGAATCTGTTCCCAGATCCTGGTCCATACACAACTCACCTTCAGACCGTCGGGCCCCATGGGGCCAAGGTCTCCCTCAAGGCCTGGCTCTCCCTGGTAGGAAAAGACAGGGTGGTATTACTGGGTAAGGGTGCAAGGGGCTTTCCCTCCCCCCAGAGGGCTAAGGAACATTGGTTCTCAGTATTTGAACAAGTGGATTTTTAAGGGGCAGAAGAAGGGTCACAGAGCTTCTGGCACCCAGCTTCATGGGTTAGACTGGAGAAGCCAGTGTGGTCTGGTGGATAAGAACAGGTTCTGACAAGGGCCGGCCTCAGCATCACCAATGTTTGTGCAACCTCAAGCAGAATCTTAGTCTCTATAGGAACCTGTTTCTTATCTGGAAAACATGGCTGACATCAAATGGGTGGTAGTCACCTAAGACCTCCTTCAGGGAGCTAAAGTAATTGTCCCTGGAACCCTATTCTCACATAAGGAATGTAAAACCAGTTTGTGTTAGATGCCAAGGCCCCATCTAACACCTCTGCTGCTCCTCCTGGCTCTAGAAAGGCTCCAGTTCTCCAAACAGCTGTCAACCTAAAAATTAGTATCTCCTTCTGGTTTTAGAATTCAGAGAGGTCCAGAGGCAGAGTCAGGAGGGGATTCAGGTCAGCAGATTCAGGGATGGCAAAGGGTGACAAGTGAGCAAATTCTGCTCCTTTTGTAGCCGTGGCAGGCATCAATAATCAATCCACTAGAACATAAGCTCCATTAGACAGGCCTTCTGTTACTCTCTTAGTGCTCCTAGACTGAGCAATATGCCTGATGCACAGTGGGCATCGGGGGAGTGTTCATCTACCTCTCTAACTTAATAAGCGTAGACGGGTCTTCGGGACCTTTCTTAACACAGACTTCTAAACAGACACAGGGGACAAGCGTGGCGGCCACACACAGCTAGTTTTTCTAGATGCTAAGCTCCCATATTCTCTTCTGCCCTGAGGCCTTCCCCTCTCACTTGGCCTTGTTTCTGGAGTCGCTGGAGATTGGGCATGGGGAGTGTGAGACATCATAAAGAAGACAAGACGGGAAATGAGGATATGGGGTGAGGACTGGGTACATTGAATGATGACTGTGCAAACTCTCTCTCACTCATGGGCCTTACCTACCCCTCCTATAAGGTGCCAAGGATACCTGCTGTGTCCTTACATGTCCCAGGGGTCCACATTCAGGCAGAGGCGCAAAGAAAAGAGAGGTAGACATAGGAGTCTCACGGGGCTTATTAGAACAAGGAAACCTTGTTGGTTTCTTTTGGAAAGGTGACAGCTAACTGTAGAACAGTTTTCGAAGAAACATACTCAAAGGGAAGCATTTGGAGGTTAGACACTTCTGGAAGCCCTGAGTTAAGCCAAACAAAGTTAATTTCTTGACTGGGGGCCTTCTCAGAGACTTGCAAATGAAGCTCTAAGTGTGTCACAGGACAGCAAGCATACTGTGGTGTCCAACACAGTGACCACAGAATGCTTTCACTCCACAGTGATGCTGGGTACCCAGGAAGGCCAGCCAGAGCTGTCAGGACTCCGGGGGAATCTGAGAGGCTCTGGGGTTGATCCAAGCCCACTTCTCACAAAGGACTGGGAGCTCTAGAAGGAAAATGTGTTTCACTTACCCGCTGCCCAATGAGGCCCTGCTCCCCAGGGGGGCCCAGAGGTCCAAGGTCACCCTAGGAGAAGCCAAACACAATCCATGTGGGGGGGTGTAGTCAGCCTCAGCCTTTGCCAGCCCTTAGTATTTCCAGCTTTGACTAGGACTGGAGAAGCTGGGGAAAGTTACTTCTTGAGAACAATAGAGAAATGTTAACACATCAGCCCAAACCCCTGCTCCAAATAAGTCCTGGCCATGGGATTCTCCACTAGGCAGCAGGACCACCTCCACCATCACACAACACCATCACTACAAATACTACCAGCACCCAAAACACCAAAACTGCCATCACCATCACAGTCGGCATTACAATCACTACCATCACCACGGCCATCCCAACCAGCGTCTCTATATCACCACCACCATGATGGTCACTATTGTCATTACAAACAGCGGGATCACTGTCATCCTCACCATCATCACTACGTAACCACTACTATGGCGGTCACCACCATCATTATCATTATCGTAACTAGCACTGCAGTCAGTACCACCATCTCTGTTGTCCTCCGGATCATCACTGCATCACCACCATGGTCAGTCACTATCATCTTAATTATCCCCACTGCCATCATTATCATCATTCCTACCATCATTACTGCACTACCATCACCAAAGCCATCATTACCACCAACACAATCCACACCGCCACAATATATCCCCACCACCAGAAACACCACCATCACTGCATCACCCCCATGACTGCATCACCATTGTCACCGCCATCACCACCATCGGTGCTGGTCATGATGTTCTAAACTCATTTTCATCCAAATGAGCCGGACCTTTCCAAAGTCCTGAAGGAACGATGTCATTTTTCAGTGACAAAGTCAAAGTGGGCAGCATAACTAGGGAAACCTGGGTTGTAGCCAGTCCTGCTGAACATCATTCTTCCTCTTCCTTGAGATTACCCTGCCCCCGGGAAGGCCTCCAAAGAGCCCTCCTCATTTGGAGATTTGCACACCATGCTTCCTACTGGTGTCTGGACCCTAGGAAATAGAGCTTGTTGCCCCAGCCCAGCCCTGATTGGAACAAGCCAGTCCCATGCAGCTTATATGTGGGTGGCACTTCACATATAGGTGGCTTTCTTTATTGCCTGGGGAAAATGAGACAGATCTGAGTCAAGACCACTAGCTCCAGGCCTGGTTCAGGTCTCTCAGAGTGACAAGACACTGGACCACAAGACAGGAATGATTTGCTTCCAGTCCTACAGTCCCTTGGCAGGTGCCCCTGGGACTAGCTTTTACGCCCTCAGCCAGCCGGCATGGCTCCTAGGCTCTCAAGTCTGCAGTATAATCAGGGTCCTTCAACAGTGGAAGCGGGTGGGATGGGAGATCCCTAGGGCTGGGCATCAATAGGTGCCTGTGTCCTCACAGGTAACAGGGTCACCTGTGCTGAAGTTCTGATGGTATCATGAAGACCAGGAGGGGCAAATTTCCCAATGGGGGACCAAGACAGGTGCCAGAGAAAACACAGCTGTGCAGGGGACAGTTCAGGGGCTCTGAGCTGGTTGGGGACTCTACTGTGGCCACTCCCTAGCCAGGACAGAGACCCATTATCCCAAGCACAAGAAAAGCCTGTTTCTCCTCCAGGGAGAGGACAGGCTGCCAGCTTGGAACTGGTGTCAACAAGTCATTTTCCCATCTTTCATCTTGTCTCACCTTCATCCCGGAGTCCCCAGGAAGGCCAGGCTCTCCCACTGCACCCGGTGGCCCCTGCAAAAAAGAAAGCCACTGGTCTCTCCTGGAGCAAGGGCCGGCCCCTTGCTTCAGGTAAGCAAAGGCCCAGAAAGAGCAAAGGATGTGCTCAGGTCACACAACAGGGAGGTACAGAAGAGGGGTTTGCAGCAGCTCCTGAGTCCTGGCAAAACTATGGGTTTGGGTGCAGGTTGGCAGAGCCTCACACCACCCAGCAGCCTCTGCTTGCCCACGAGTGCGGTTTACCACACAGGAGCCCTTGGCAGACATACAAGGAAAATGCATGATCCAAGCGAGGTTGTGGGGAAGAAAAGACCAACGATGGGGCAGGCCTTGGCCTCTCCTGCATTTTCCTGACACTAAGCCAAGGTGGTGAGGGTGGGGAAGGGGACCATCAGCAGTCTGGATCTCTGTTCATGATCCTGTACAGTCTTTAGCAAGGCAAAAGGTAGGGAGGGCCCCCGAGAATGTCCTATATCCCACTCAGTGCTGTAAGGCAGGCTCCCAGCCCCCAACCCTATGCCCTGCACAGACGTGTCATCTGTAGGTCTCTGCAGAGCCAGCCTGACGGTTTCTGTAGGCCAGGACAGGGATCAAGCAGCAGGTGGGACTGCTGACCAGGAGGGCTACAATGCCCCAGTAGCGACAAAGGACAAACCAGGGTTCCTTGGCACTCACCTTCGGTCCCATCTCTCCTGGAGGACCAACTGGCCCCTGAGGTCCCTGAGAGCCCTGGAGACAGACAGACATACAGACAGTTAGACTCTGGGTTCCGCTATATGGGGAGCTATGGGGAGGCTGGGTCACAAGGACTGGAATTGTAACTGAAAGAGAAGACCCGCACACTTACTTCCAACCATATACAGTTCCTCTTCACCCATCTCCAGGGTCTCCTCAGCATCCAACTCTACCCCAGCAGGGCTGCACCCCCATCCCCTCACTACAATGCACAACTTCAGAATTTTTCTCACTAAGCCCTCTCCTCTTCTGCCCTCCCCAACCCACTCCCAACTACCTCTAACCATCCAGGGTTCCAAGGTGCAAAGGTTCTTCTGAGTCTCCAACTGTCTGGCTCCCTGCAGCCTCCTTGGGGAGACCTAGCACCTCTGCCTCTCCAGACCCACCCCTTGGGACATCTTCTGAAGGACAAGCCATGTGCCTATGGCTTTCCTTGTCCTTTCCCTGTCCTTCACAAAGCTCTCCCTGTCCTTCCCTCTCTGCCCTCCTTCCTTTTGCCTTTCTAGATACTAAGTGTTCCCTCTATACATTTTTCAGGCCAGCTTCACAATCTTGGGGCAAATGCAAGTCAGCTTTCCCCATTTAGTAATGGATCCAGTGGTCAAGCAAGCCAAGACTCACCCTAGAACTCAGGGCCAGGCTCTGCATCTTTGCAGGCCATGCCTAGCTCTGTCTTTTCCACAGATAGGGATCTGCTGCTAAGTCAGCAGTCCCTGCTACAGTCAGACTAAGACAAAACTTCCAGGGCAGAGGTATCAGAGAGAGAGAATAGATACTTACCGGTTCTCCTGGGAGGCCCTTGGCACCTGGAGGGCCCGAGGGGCCAGGAATGCCCTGTAGAAAATACAGGTGACCTTAATCTCTTAGACCTTCTCCATTAAGCTCATCCCCTTGGCCTCAGGCTAGTTCTATGGTGTATCTAGGTTCCTATTCCACACTTATTGCCGAGATGGGGCCTCAGGGCACCTGTGGATTCCCACGAAGGTCAAAAACTCATGTTAATCTTTCTCTACCTGCCCCAAAGTCCCATGCTGAGAATTTCCAGAATGGACACTACTTACAAGGAAGCCTCTTGCACCTGAGTGGCCTCGCTCACCAGCTGCACCCTGGAAGCACAATGGACATCATTAGAGGCATGTGTCACAACAATTGAAGGAAGGACAAGGGACCTATTATGGGTGGGGCCTCACATACCTGCTGTCCTGGCTGTCCAGGTCTGCCCCGAGGTCCCACACGGCCCTGTTGGAAGCAGAGCATGTGGGGTGGGAGAGGGGCTCATGAGGACACTTTAAGAGAGGAAAGGACCCAAGAGGCCAAATGCTTCCTCAACACACTGACTGTGGGCATACTTAAGATTTGCCAGTCACCACAGAGGAGTTGGGGTCAAGAACCAAGGGCCTTTCCCACTGAAGGGAATAGCAGAGAGCATACGTGATGCCCTCAATGGCCGTCTTTTGCTTTTGTTTGCTATGGGCTACAAGAGGCTGGATAGTGGCAGAATGAGTTGCTGGGAACATACCCTGAATCATTTTGGGGCCTATCTGCTACTTCAAGGGGCCAGGGGTTGGAGGGACAAACCCAAGGGAGGTCTGTACCTTCAGGCCCTTGGACCCCTGCTCCCCAGCTGGTCCATCAGGTCCTCGAGGGCCCTGGAAAAGGAAGAATATTCCAGAACAGTGCACTGGACGGCAGGGGTCTCCCTTGGGCTGCGAACCAGGAAGGTGAGCATGCCTATAGCTTCTGCCTTTCCCTGTTCCTCCTCTTCCACACCCACAGCCTGAGACAGGTCATTCCTGCAATGGCTTGGGTGGCTCTTCAGAGGTCACAGCTGAGGGAGTCAGCTAGAGACCCTAAATGCATTGGATGTATGGGTCAATGTATCTAAAGTGTCCTGGGTGACTGCCACCAGCCAACCTGTTTCACAGATGTGGAGACTGAAGGCTGAAGCAGAGAAACTTGTGGCCATGTTCCCATAGCCAGGCTTTAGCTTACTGCCTCCTACTCCTTCCCTAACTCGACCTAGTTCTCGGGAGATGAAGGCCAGCAGGGGTGGGGCTTCCCAGGTCATAGTCAGAGGTGGGCCTGAGAGACGCTCCTGGTTTGGAGGTCTCTGTGTGGCACAAGCTCACACCTCCCTTGGTGTGGAGGCTCAGAGGCCTGAGTCACACAGCCTACTGACCACCCTCCTGGGATCAAAGCCTTTTTAAGAGAAAGGACATAACTTAGCGTCAATAGCAGCAGACAGAGTCACAGAGAAGGAAATATGGGAAGGGGCCTGGTATGGAAATGAAGGTAAGGGAAGAGCCAGAACTGGAACCAAAGCCAACCAGATGCCTGTTAATTCCTCCACTGTGTGTCACCCTTCATCTGGATGGGGGTAAATTTCCTGTCACAGGAGATATCAAGCTAGGACCTCTAGGCTTGCCTTCCAGGAAGGCTGTACGTGGAGTGTGACATTGGAGGAGACAAGGTCTAGAAGCCAGGGTTAAGCTGTAGAGAAAAAGGTGTCATATTCCTGTCTGGAGGAAAGAAGAGAGAGTGGCTACCAGCCATCTTGGATGTCCAGCTGTTATGCAGGGATAATGTACCTGGAAGGCTGCTCTGAAGGCCCCCCAGATACCCTCCTTTCCTTGTGCCCTGGGAAGGCCTTCCTGTGGCAGGCAGGCTAGGGTTTACATCAGAACCACATGCTTAGAGGCCACATCAGAAGACTACCCTGGGGTTGCCCTCCAGCAGGCCAGATCAGTCTCAGCAGAACCACTCCTGCCAGGGGCAGATGATCCTGCGTACCCACAGCGTCCTGAGAAAGGGCAACAGGAAAGAGAGGGAAACCCAGCCTCTGTGGCCACCCTAGGGCCAAGGCTCCTGGGAACTGACTGGGTCTGTATATCCAGCCAAGCAGCTCTGTGATGGCCCATTTTACAGAGGGGGAAGCGGAGGTTGAGGAGGGGAAGTCAGCTGTTTGATAACACAGGGAAAGAGCCTTACTCTGAGAGCTCAGGTATAGCAACAGACACTCCACATCTCAACAGCCCTTCAGTAGGAACTCCTCACCTGAACAGATGGGGAAAGCCTCAGAGAGGTAAAGAGACTATAGCCTAAGATTGCACAGCCACAAACTGCCCCACTCATGGTCTGACCAGGTGCTTTTATGGGATGCTAATGGGCCACTCCTGTCTCCAGACCTTCCAAGTCTACCCTACACTTGGGCAGGAAAGCCTTCGTGGCCTTGCACATCTCCCATGTCCATCCCATGGCACCTGTGGGGAAACAGACGCAGAGAGCAAAGAGTCTTCCAAAGGACACAGGGCAATCCAGGAACACAACAGACTTGGCTAGAACTTGTGTTCCATAGGTGTGGTGGGCACCTCTCTAGGTCCCTATTTCAACTGCTGCTAAACCTCACAGAGGATGGCTGTGGCTCTCACATGCTTCTCCTAGTCCTGAATATGCCTACACCAAAGGGAGCCTGGCTTTCCTCAAGTGGAATGTGTATATGTATTGGGGATGGGATAGCTCACTCTTTGGCAGTTCACCCTGCAGCTAGGCCAGTTTTCTCTGGGGGGGGCACCCAGAAGCTTTTAGGCCTTGTCTCACTTAAGAGACTCAGAAGGTATGGGTCCTGGGAAGGATCCTGGCTGCCAAAGCAATGTTCCACTTCCCCATCTCAGGATGACTGCTCAGGACATCTAGTTCAGGGGATGTCTTCAAACTAGATACAGCTGAGAGGAGAATGGTATCAGAACCCCACACAGCACTTGGTAATAGGCCTGGGCAGCCTACACCATCTTGTTTCCTCTCTACAAGGAGGCACATGCCCTGCACGTTCACACCAGTAGATCATTTCATGTACCCCTTATAACCGTAAAGGAGACAAAACTCAGTATGTCAAAGAGGCAGATTCGCAGGTCCAAACCTCAGCTCTACCAGCCTGAGACAAGTGTCATAACTTGTCTGTGTTGGCATTTTCTGAGGGAAACAGCACTTCCTAGCAGGGTAATGTCAAGGGTCAAATAAGTCAGTGTATGAGGCAGACAGAACAAAGCATTGGTGAATCCCCCACTCTCCACCCCCCGCCCCGCACTACTGTAGTCAGACAGCTCTTATCTTAAACCTGTATGGTTCCACACTATTCTTACAGGGTAGCTTTGGTTGTACGACCTGGTATGTGTGTGTGACTTATGTCTGTGTCACAAGGCCAGGCAGGACTTAGGCTTGCCCTGTTGTCCCAAGTGTTTGTCTCCAGTGGTAGCTCACATAGTAGTAGTGGTGGCTGAATGAGTGAAGGAACGGATGACCAGAGCATGTTTGTGCCCTCTGGACAGCCAGGTGTGATGCTCAGATACAGGCTGGGAAGATGGCTCAGGCTTAGCTTCCAGCACTGACTCTGGGTGTGCCCGGCCCCCACCAATGTTGCAGAAACCACTTGGCTCACTCAGAGTGGGGCAGGAGACAAGGAACAGACATGTCCTCACTTACCCGGTGCCCCTTGGCTCCCCTCATGCCTGGTGGGCCTCGAGGTCCTGGAGGGCCCTGTGGGGAGGAAAGGGCACTTAGAAGCTCCTTCAGGGCTTGGGAGAAATGATGGGGTAGGGAAGCCAGCAGCCATAGCGCTGAGAAGTAGCCACTCTGGCCTGCTGGGAGTTCTTGGCCAGTGGCAACCCTGAGCCTGGCTAATGCCCTAGTGGGGACTGGAGTTCTGTCCCTCATCCCCACCTAACACCACGCACAGCCCTGGATAGGTGCCAACTACCCCATGCACCAAGAGCCTTGGGGAAAGAGGAGGAGGAGGAGTCTGTTGGGTCAGGGTGGGGACAAAAAGGGGCAGAGGCAGAGAGCAAGGGGCAGGACTGAGCTTGGTACGGTGAGTGGTTCACATCTGTAATCTAAGCGCTAGAGTAGTTGAGGCAGGAGAATTGCCACAAGTTAAAGACCAGTCTTATTCAGTTTCTTAAACTGTGGTCTGAGACCCCATATGGGGTTGCATTAATTGAAAGCGGAGGCTGAGAAAATCACTGGCAGCAGTTAGAGGTTTCTGAGTATATAAAACAAACCAAAAATTAACTTAAAATCAAACACATTGTGAGTCAGATATTTTTGGCTGTGCTCACCTGTGTTGCATTGTGTGACTTCACTATGGCCTTGGCTGTGACCACACAACACACACACTTTCTACTGCATGTGCCATCACACCATGCACCGCCAGAAAACTCCGCCTACAATGCCTGGACTCAGATTTGAGATGACTGCCTGTTCTGAACTGCAGTGTTCTTACTGTTTTCTGCCCTTACAGAAATGTAACACTTCAGTAAAGGACAAAAAAGACTTCAAATATTTTCCTGCCACCATGCTCAGCACGAAAGTATCCAATTAGCATATCTTTAGATTGTATTAGAATGTTTGATTTTAAAAATTGCTTTGCTGACTTGAGTTCCATTAAAAAAAAAATCATTCAGTGAATTTTGGCTTGGAATTAGAATAGCATTTCCAGCAATTGCTGAATGGCCCCAAACACACTTCTGCCAGTTTTTATTATGTATTTATGCAAAGCAGAATTTTCAGCATTGATGATTAAATTTGAAACATCTGCCAATCAACTCTGAAAATGAGTGAGGATGCCTGAGGTTCGGCAGTATCAAATACTCAGCCAAGATGTAATCCTCCATGTAAAAGTTAATGAGAGCTGCCATCTCAGTGGTATGCAAGCTTGCTTCCATACTTAACAAATGGTGAAATGATTCAGGTACCAAAGAATTGCCTCAAAAGGGAATTTCTGTACAATATTATCAGTAGGTATTTGACCTGTAGAGCTATTTTACACACCTATATACCAAGTGTTGCATAAAAGTTTCTTGGGTGAGGAGTCATGAGTGGAAAAGGTTTAAAACTCTCTGGCCTGACCTAGTCTAAGTACAGAGAACCATCTGTGCCAGCCAGTTGGATCCTGTGATGGAGGCAGGGACCCTTCCAGAGAGGGGCAGCCTCATTCCCTCTGGATCTCCACCTTGCTGCTCCCACAGTCCTGAGGTGCAGACATAGCAGCTGTCCTCCAGTCTGCCACTGCTGCTGGGGCTTGAGGTGAGAGCAAACATGCAGCTTGACCCACCAGCAGAGCCAGTGGGGGGACCCCAGGCTTGCACAGCAAGAAGGCAGACTTGGCAGGCTGTTGGCAGGGATAGTGACAGCCTGAGTAAGACAGGCTGTTTTCCAGAATGCTCTCTCAGAAGCCATGTGGCACATCCTCCGAGGCCTCAGGAGTCAGGTTCCACATGGATGAGCTAAATTCTTCAAAGGATCCAAGGCCAGGGAACTGCACCACAGCAGGACTCAGTTCTGGGGCCACTAGCTGTGAGGTCTCAGGCAAATCATCTCACCTCAGTAAACCTCAATGTCCTCACTGATAGCATGAGAATGAGCAAAGTCCCTCATCCCTATAGGACCATATAGGGTCCTCAGCAGGTTCCAGGTCCTACCCATCTGCCTCCCCATACCTAGTTATGGGGCTTTGTCAGAAGCCAGCCTTGGCGACCCCCCCCCCAATGCCTAGCTAGCCGCCAGTCAGTCTAGCATCCCATCCCTCAGGTTCCAGGACCTGGCCTGAGAAGCAACTAACACCTATTCCTTCCCCCACTTCCTTAACACAGGAGATTCCGGATACCTGCCTGAGAGCAATTAACATTCATTCTTCCCCCACCTCCTTTTTCTCTGCTTCCTCCTTTCTCTATAAAAACCCCTTGTAATAATCAATAATTGGGCCTTGACAGGAAATCTCCTTGGTCCCGCTCTTTCTTTCCCGCCCATTATTTGCAGGCGTGATCCACCTCGGACTCACAAATTACCGGAGCCCCACGGGACGGGGCAGGGCTTGGACTGAGCTCAGAGTACAGAGTGAGGATGTTAATACAACTGGCAAATGCTCATCACACACAATTAGCTGGAACAGTACTTCAATGGTAGATGCCATCACTGTGGCAAGCATTGTGTCTCACCAGTAGCAGGAGCCATCTATGAGGTGTTCAGGCATAACGGCACACAAAATGCCAGCTGATTCTCACCACAATGGTGATGGCAGCATGATGCTGGCCGACAGGTGGGGAAACCGAGGTAGGGGAGACCTCAGCTATGAACGTGTACACAGACATGTGTGCACATACATGTGCAAGTCACAGGTCAATTCTGGATTTTTCTTCTAGCACTTCCTGCCTTATTATTTTGAGACAGGATCTCTCACTGAATCTGTAGCTTGCCTATTCAGCTAGGCTGGCCAGTCAGCAAGACCCCAGGATCCTCCTGTCTCCACCTCCCTGCAACTTGGGAAATGGTACAGACGTTCACCACCACAGCTAGCTTTTTACATAGATGCTGAGGATCCAAACTCAGGTCCTAGTGTTTGCACAGTAAGTATTTTACCAAAGGAACCATCTCCCCAGGCCTAGATGAAAGAATTTGATAACAGACCCTAAGCACTCCTTGGCTCAGGCTTCAGCTCTGAACATAGGATGGAGGCTAGACCCTTGGACTGAAAACCATCCTCTCCTCCCACCATAGTCTCAGTTCCAAATCTCTAGCAGGATATGGCTTTCCCTTCTCATTATTGGGGGGTGGGGAGAAGCACATGACTGTGACCCCAGGGGGGTGACTCTGTCCAGGGACATCTTTCCACTGGTTCAAAGGACTGTGTGTGGGGGATACAAGCACCTGGTGCTTTGACACATGCTATAGGTAATGGTTACATGTCTGTCTCGTTGACATCTGTGTCCCCAGTTCAGTACCTGTAGCGATTACTCACCATCCTGACAGAACTGAGTGTCAGGTTAAGAGCAGGAAGGATACAAGCTGCTCCTGGCCTTCACATGTTGCCCTGTACAGAACCTCAGCCCAAGACCTTCTTCACTCAGCCCACACTGTCCTATCACTACTGCCACAACACGCTCTAGATGTCACATGAACAAAAAGTGGACTCAGGGAAAACTACAGGTTCTTCCTGGGAACCCAGCCAGGGGCCCCAGGCTGTGTGTCCACCCAGGTCTGAGACTCGAGGTCTGGACTCCATGTGTTTGTGTTTAGGAGACATGAGAATTTTATTTACCCGGGATCCAGGCTCTCCAGGGTCCCCAATACCACCTGGCATTCCAGGATGACCCTGCCAAGGAGGAAGAAAAATGAGGAGTCAGCTGAGGAAGGTGCCACATTGCCCCTCCTGTGACAGAGGATCAGCTCTAACCCAGGGCTAGGAGGTAAAAAGTCTCGTCTGGTCCAGGATTCAGAGAGCTAGGTATCCTGGGTGTTTGGAGCATGTGGTATGTGAAGGGAACAGGATTGTCACCTGAGGTTATGCCAGGAGAGGGGAGAGGATGCAGACTTACTCCTTACCATTGACCCCTTGGGCCCAGGTGCGCCTGGGGGTCCCATCACTCCACGGTCTCCCTGTGGTGGAGATAACAAGGCACATAGGTCATGGCTGGGGCTCTGGGGACAGGGACCCAAAGGGAGGTAGGAACTTGACAATGGTCTATGGTGTCATTCCCAGCTTACTCACATTGTCAGGAAACCCCAGCCTCATCTGCCAGGCAGGGCAGCATAGGGCATGTCCCTGGGCCAGGATGGTCCTGATGAAGGATGCAATAGTTGCATCACCCCTTTGATCCTGGCCCATATTACGTGATTCTCATTAGGCCTGGCACCCCCTGAGCTGGGCTTGCTGAGGTAGAGACAGTCATAGCCGCCTTTCTTTTTCTCTGTTCATGGGCAACCCCCTCCCCCATGGCACCCCAGATAATCACACATCACTCATGTCCTCTAGACCAATTCAGACAGGTCGGGAAGTCAGAGACAGCAGGCAAGGCTATGGTCATCCTTTCTCAGCTTCTGCAAGGCCTATTTCCTCTTCAGATAAAAATGAATTAAGCACCCACTGTGTGCTGACACTATTATGTGCTAAGCCCCAAGTATGCCATGAGGAGAAGAAACAGATCAAACCCATAATGCAAGACACCCAGTATGGCAGGGAGATGAGGACCTCTAGAAAAGATACATTCTGGAGCAGGTATGGGTGGCAGGGGTTGGGAGACAGTGACAGACACTGTCACAGGATGACCACCTGGTGATGAAGAAAGCAGAAGATTCCCTTTGAAGAGCCCTCAGCAAGAGACCCAGGCAGAAAGGATATGGGTGGATGGGCATGGGAAAAGGAGACCTGTCCAAAGTAAGGGTCCACAGGTGAGGAAGGACATGGGAAACTTGAGCAACAGAACTGAAGTTGGCTTTGATTCTGTGTGATGGTTACATGAGCTGTTAGCACTGAGGGCTGTGGGGGAAGGGCTTCTGGGACCTCCTGTAGAAACTCTGCAACTTTTGGTGAGTGGTTACCTACTTTGAAATAGTGTTAAGGGACAAAGAGGAGCATAGGGAAGAAAGTGGAGACCAGAGGGTGTAGGAAGTGAGGCAGAGTGAAGTGCTTGAAAGCTAGGAGGCCCCGAGAGAGACAAGAGAAGCCACAGATGACTACTTATCTGAGGAGCTAGTCAGAAAAGTGTGGCCTTCAGTAATTGACCTGGTTCTAATCCCAGCTCTGCCACTTATGATCTGGGTGGCCTTGGGCTAGCCACTGCTTCTGCTGGACTCTCAGTGACCTCCTCTGTAAGATGGAGGAGCTTCCAGGGCCTATGGAAGCACCCTAGGCACTGTCCACTGAAGAATTACCCCCAACCACTGCTGCCAGTGCTGGGTGATGTCAGTAGGCAGCCCCAGGCACACACACCAACTGATGGCCACACCAGAGTCTGGTTGGGCTTATGGGTGAAGACAAGAGCTCTGGGGGACAGGGACAGGGACATAGGCTCTTGGGGAGCAAGGAATGGCAGAAACAGAGGGGGTGGTACAATATCTGCAGCTCACTGGCCCACTGGTCCTTATCCTTATTGAAAAATACAAGCTCCGAGGCTTTGCCTCTATCATGTACACTTACCTTCTCCCCCACGATTCCAGGCTCCCCAACCAGACCAATGAATCCCATGAGTCCCTGGGGAGGACACATCCGGAAAAACTAGTGAATCTGGGGGCATGCTGAGTGTTCAAGGTTTTCCCTCCTCTGGGGCCCAGCCCTCCCACACCCAGTCCCCACTCCCACCCTGCACTCTGTGACTGTATGGCTGGGACTGCTGTGGAAGAGCATAGCCTCTGGGCTGCTTCTCCCCACCACTCCAGATGGTTCAGATTTGAGAGCCAAGTGGTGGGGCTGCTGCCAGCAACCCTGGGAGCCGAGCATTCTTCCCGTGCCAGAAGCAGGCTGGGATCCCTACACATTTGAAGAACTGGAGTGGGGGTGATAAGCTAGGAAGAGGCCATCTGTCTCCATCTTTGGGGGCTCTAGGGTTGTTTTAGAGAGAAACAAACTTGTTGACTGAGACAGAAATACCCTAACATTCTACACCAGAGACAGGGTGGAATTTGGTGGGAGGTTTCTACTAAAGGGCTTCCCTTTGCTGAAAGCACATGTGCTCAGACATACAGACATAAACACATACAGACAGACACACAAACACACACAGAGATACACACAGACACACATATACAAAGACACATACACACATGCACACACATACTCAGACCCATACACACAGATACACAGATATGCACATACAAAGACATATAGACACATGCACAAAGACACGTACACATGTAACACAAACACAGATACACATAGACACACACATATAAGGACATACATGCACAAAGACAGACATACATGCAGAGACACACAGATACATATACACAAAATATACAGAGACACACATGCACACATACACAGGTACACATACACATAACATACACAGACACACACACGCACAAACAGAGATAGCCATGCACATATACAGACACAGACACACATGAACAGAGACACACACACACACACATGCATACAGACATACACAGATACACATAATATACACACATACACATACACACAAACACAGATACACATAGACATGGAGACACAGACACACAGAGTGCACCTCCTTTGGATCTCCTTTTGTTTTGTTTCTTTTGTTTTTGTTTTTCGAGACAGGGTTTCTCTGTGTATCTTTGGAGCCTGTCCTAGAACTCACTCTGTAGACCAGGCTGTCCTCCAACTCAGAGCGATCCACCTGCCTTTGCCTCCCGAGGGCTGGGATTAAGGATGTGCACCACCACCATCTGGTTTTCTTTGGATACTTTTAACTCTACTGTGTAAAAGCTTGCCTCTGGTTTCCAGAGCTCATCTTAGTGGTCTTGCTGTCACCCTGAGTAGGTGAGTAGGTAAACATGCATATGCCTAGGGCAGGTGAACAGCCGAGAGTCCCCAAGAAGGTAGAGCAGATCCTTGCTGGAACCCACCTCCCCTCTGTTGAGATACATACTTAGAGAGCTTTCTGTATTGGTCAGGAGGGCTTAAGAAGTTTTGGGGGATCCCAGATGTATAGCCAGACATTTCCCAGAGAATTCCAACATATGGAGATGGGTGGGTTGGTCCTATGAAAACTGTTTCCTGTGCCAAACTTCTGAGCAAAGTGAGGCGAGACCTGGAGCTGTTAATAGCCCAGAGGCCCTGTGCTCAATAAAGCTGGAGAGCCAGGCTACCTGCCAGGGGTCTGGGAGAGGTAGAGGAACTGCTCAGCTCTCCCTAAAGACAGTTGTAAATGGCAAGCTCTGGGGACCATGGATTTCTTGTGGGGGCAGCCAAGGGGGTGGAGGTGGAGATTCAGGAAATGTACCTCCCAGCCTCCTTGTACTGTTTCTCCACTGGGGCCCCCTAAGGATGTGCATGACAGAGTGGGCCAGCACCATCACCATCCCCAGAATGGTCTCCTGTGACTCTTTCAGAGGTGGTATGAGGGGGCTACAGTATGGGCTGTGAGCTTACAGATAGTATGTCATGGAGGACAGCTTTGCAACAACTAAACAAAACATGGGCATGATTGCTCATGCCTATAATCCTAGTACTTGAGAAGATGAGACTGGAGCATGATCTCGAGTTTGGGTACAGCCTGAGTTATGCAACAAGTACCAGGACAGGCAGGGATACATCAACACCAAACAATCATTAAAACAAACATGGACATTACTAAGGTGACAGTGACATTAATAACCTTGGGTCCATGTACTGAGGGCTTGCTACTTACCTAGCCCTGTACATGGAACTGTCTATGTCACTCTTATTCAAACTCCAGGTTTATGGACCCTGAACAAATTGGTCTTCCTACATGTATCTATGGGATTGGAACAATATAGGTCCCTCCAATCTCCTGGTAGCTCTGACGCTCAAGACCCGGGTGCTTTTCTAGGGGCACAGGGTTAAGACAACATCTGGACTTCCCACCAGGAAGCAACCAGACATTTCAAGGGTGTCAGGGAAGGGAATACGCATGGCTCTGTGGAAAGGGACCTGTCTGATGGGTCTGGAGGAAGGCATTTCATAGCTACTATAAATTTATTATTTGTCAGGACCTAGAAGACATAAACTTTCAATAAGTAGTCAGACAGGATCTAAGTGAGTAAGGGTCATCCAGCAAGCGCCTGTTCCTATGCCCTCCAGAGCCCCATGCTATGCTCTCCTTATGGGGAGGCGTTTGGACTGGCAGTATGTCAACTGGAAGAGAAGTAGTCTCTGAGGCTCGGGCCTCCCACCTGACAGGGGGAGCAGAGAAGCAGCCTTGAAAGCCTGCTCCTCTCTAGTTGGCAAGATATGGTGGCATCTCCTCTCCTTCTCACAGCATTCTGCTGGCTGTGGGAGTTTGTGGGGGGTGCTGGCCATGGGGAATGCTTGCTTCTGACAATCAGATGCCATGTGCTTCAACTGGACCATCACTCTGGGTAGATGCTGATATGCTCATTGTCCCTGGATGCTCACACCCTGACCCCAGCACCTAGGACAGGGCCTGGCAGGCAGTTTGTGCTTGCTGGTAGATAAATGCAAGGGTTCTGGGGACCAAAGAACTTTCCACTCTGTCTGGGGAGCACTTGGGAACCCAGAGTCTATGAAGACCCAGTGTCAGTTCTGAGTTACAACACTGCCTGTGAGATCTTGGACAAGCTATTTAATTTCTCAGGACCTCAGTTTTCTCATTTGCAAAATGGGAGTCATAACAGTTCCCGTCACAGGACTGCTGGGGGTGCTGCAGATGCTGTGTCTAGTGCTTGGCACAGAGCCCGCTACCTCACGGGTGAGCAATAAATGGAGCTGTTACTGTGATTACAAGCAGGGCCTGTGGTGTGAGCTTAGGGGATCTTTCCTGGGGAGCCTGTTGTTCTGTCAGGAACAGGAAACACCCACCCGTTTGCTGTGGACACATGGACAGGGGCTGGTGTTGTTGCATGCCTTATAGCCTACACAGGAGCCAGAGATGAGGCCCAGCTCAGACGCCCTTCCCTCATGTTGCAGTTTGTGAGTGCTGCTAGATCCACAGCTAGCTGGGGGCTCTGTGGTCCCAGTGAGTCAGGGCCATCCCAGGCAGGGTGTCTACCCTCTTGGCCCCAGCTCAGCTCCTACCTCTTTTGAGCATATTATGATCCCATTTTTTTCTCCCAAATTTGTGAACCAAACTACCAATGTGGGCCAGAATCCAGGGTTTCTTAACCCAGGACCTCTGTAAGCCACTATAGATGGAATGCAGAGGGTCCAGGAACTTGCACAGAAAAATGTACAACTTTTATATATATTGCCCTCCCATCAAAATGTGTTTTTCTTAAGTACTAGTGCATGCAACCAGTCCAATAGTATTGAACACTTGTGACTGTCCATCTGGTTACATGTCACTACAATCAATCTTACACAGATCTCAAAACATCACTTAGTATGGAGGTCAATGTTAGGTATCGTAGTTGAGTATATTAATTGAGAAGTAGATACATGTATGCCACAACTGAGCACATTATCTATCTCGGTATAACTGGTTGCCTTGGCATCCTTCACTTTTGACTTTATGCACTTAAATCTACTCAAAGAAATGGGGTCCACAGGCTTCCTTAACTTGGCAAAGGTAGCTAAGACAGAAAATGGTCAGGGCCCTGGAGAAAATGATTTCCAAGGGTCTCTGTGTCCTAAAGGTCTAGGGTTCTAAGTATCTATTTCCCCAGGGCCAACCATTAGCATAACTATGAATTTGAATGTGCTATTTTTTCCAGTCAGGAAATGCATCAAGGCGGCAGCAGTCTTCCCAAGCTCCCGGCTTCCCTCAGAATGTGCTTGGATGACACTGGAAAGATTTCAAACATGTTGAAAGGGGGCCCTTTAATTCTTATTTTTCTCTCAACAGATGTCACGGGCCTTGTGAAGAAGCCTGTTGCACATGAGTCTCATGCCATGGATGGCACTTCTGGGCACAACTGAATACCCTTGAGGCCCCAGTATTCTTCCTCCTCCATGCTTGAAGAAGCCCCTCCCAAGGTTCCTAGAGGGTCCTCATTTATAGGAGTGGCAAATATCTCCCCAAATCTACCTCTGAGTCCTGAGGCCAAGCCTGAAGGAGGCACTGAGGCCTGGAGGGATGTCCCAGAGTTGCCATCCTCACAGCACCAGAAGTGCTGCTCTAACTGGTAGAAGAGGGTGATGAGCCTCCAACTTCTTTTAACAGACTAGTGGCAACCTTCCTTCTGAAGATGTGTTCCTCCTTTTCAACTATCCAGAGTCCTGCTTTGAGTTTCATCTTCTTCACAACTTAGGGAGGCCTGGATCTCAAGCCCTTGGAGAGTGGATCTATTCTCTGGCTAAGCGAACACAGTCATTTCAGGGAACTCTCTGGTTTAACCCCAGTTCTAGGAGGTGAAATCCCATTAAATCTTTGAGCAAATGCACCAAAAATTGCATTCAAGAGTCAGGCCTTAGGAAGAGACCATGTTATTCAGGGACCTCCCTTCTTTGAGAGTGTGTGAGAGAACTAGCTCTGGTATGTTACCAGCCTGAGGCCTGGGTGACTGCCTAGCAATGGACTTGGCACAAGTAGGTACTCCACTGTGTTGACACCATCATTAACTTACCTGTTCACCCACAGGCCCTGGCCGTCCAGGATCCCCTGGTTCTCCCTACAGAGGAACATAGAAGAGGATAAGTCAGGACAGGAGGAGGTGGGGCATTGAAAACACTTGAGGAAGTCCCCAGGGTCGAGTGGTATTAGGTGTCATTGATAAGGATGAACTGGAAATCCCATCTCTAGACTTTGGCCTTAAGAATCTAGATGGCTAGCAGCAACCAAAGAGTGATCCCCAACACTACAGTCATCCACTCCCTCTGATCAAGTCAGCATCCTGACTCTCCCAACAATGCAGGTTGGCACTTCTGAGCAAGGTTCCCCAATATCCTGATGCTCCCTAACACTACAGTCATCCACTCCCTCTGAGCAAGGTTCCCCAGCATCTTGACTCCTTTCGAACTTCAAGCAACCTAACTCAATTTTTAGGGTGGAAATTAAGGTCCAGAGGGATGGAAGGACTGTGTAAGGTCACAGAGCCAGCTAGAAGGAGGGCTAGAATTGGGACTTTAGTCAACCTGTGGCCCATTTCCATGCAGGTTGCCAACTACAGGGAGAGCTGGGAATTGCAGGTAAATATCATTAGGAAGCTAAACCTCCACTCTCCTAAGCTTTGTCTGCAGCACAAATAGTCTTGAAGAGTCTTGTCTTTGTGTTGGGCTTAGCCTCCCAGATTCTAGCACTTGGTTGGCACATGGCTTTGCCTGGCAGCTGTGATCTCTGCTGGACAGATCTATTGGTGGCCTTAACAGCTGCAGACTCTCTCTAGTATGAATAGATCAGTGATCTGGAACTGCCCCGGAATGAATCTACCCAGACATGTCACCTTGCACCACAGAAACCTAAGCAGTATCTGAGGGATTGTGGTCCTCAGAAGGCAGGACACATGATCACAGGGACAGGAGCTTGGAAAGAAAATATAGCTCATGTGTCCTATTCATAGTCTCCTCTTCCCCTCGGTTCCTCCCCAAATGTCATTCTTACAAATGCTGGCAGGGCCAGGCCAGGCCAGGTGCATGGCCACTCATTCCTCTGGAGGAAGGTTATCACTGGGGCTTAAGGGATCCCCCAACTGTTTCCTACCCTCTCTTTCCAACCCATTCATAGACTTAGCCCAACGTAGCTCCCTTTGAAAGCCCTTCCTTGGAAATGATGATTCATCTTCATTATCAACTTGACTGACTTTGAAATGGGGATAAAAACACATGAGTGTGTGTGTCTATGATAGTATTTCTAGGAAGGTTTAACTGAGACAGGAAGAGGCACTCTGAGGGTGGGCAGCAGCATCCCAGGGGCTGGGGGTCCAAGTGAATAAAAGGGAGAAAAGGAGACGGCCACCGTCCCCCACTTTCTATTCCCACTCTGCCCAGATCTGAAGAGGCCCAGCTACATTGTATGGCCCCCATGAAGTTCACCATGCCTTTCCTGCCATGGTGGCCTGTACCTTCTTAAAGTGACAGCCATAATAAACCCTTTTTCCCTATGCTTTCTGCCAACTTGACAGAGGCTGGAGTCATCTGAGAGGAGGGAGCATTAACTGACAAAATGCCTCCATGAGATCCGGCCGCAGACAAGCTTGTAGGGCATTTCTTAATTAGCTATTGATGTGGGAGGGCTCAGGCCATTGTGGGTGGAGCCAACCCTGGGCTGGTGGCCCTGGATTCCAAAAAGAAAGCAGACTGAGCAAGGCACAAAGAGAAAGCCAGTAAGCAGCACTTCTCCATGGTCTCTGCATCAGCTCCTCTCTCCAGGTTCCCGTCCTGTATGAGTTCCTGTCCTGACTTCTCTCAATGATGAACAGTGATGTGGAAGTGTAAGCCAATAAAACCCTGTCCTCCCAAGTAGAGTTTGGTCATGGTGCTTCATCACAGCAATAGTGATGAATAGATTCCCTTAATTAGTTTTCTGTCAGCTATTTTGTCACTGAGATAAATAAAAAGAAAAATAGCCTACTTCCTTACTGGGGCCAGCTTTTGTTTTGATCAATAAAAAAGAAAAAGGAGACACAGAGAAGAAAACAGAAATCCCCTTCACCTCTGGTTAAGCACTGTCAGTCTCTTGCCTCTGCTCAGTATAGGAAGAAGGCAGGTGCCACTCCTGTTCAAGCTCCCATTGACAGCCTGCCCCAGAGTGTCTGGACTGTATCCCGTTACGTGAACAATCCCCTTCTGTTGCACACTTGGGCCATGTCTACTTCCTTTTCCCTCCTCTGTTACCAAAACCCTGGGATGAATACGGACCACTTTTTTCTCCCCTTTCTCCAGCATGAGATGCAGGGCTTTATATGTCAGACTACCCCTTCTTCCTACACCACTGTCCCCCCGGCATGCCTAAGTCTCCTCACCTTTGAGCCATCCAGGCCAGGCCTCCCAGGAAACCCCTTCCGTCCAGGCTGACCCTGCAACAGAGAGGCACATGAAAGGGGCTACAGCTGAGGGTACCTGGAGAACTCTAGAAGTCCCTCACAGGAAGGTACTATGCTCTGGAGGGGATAGTGATGTAGAGATCCAATGTCACCAGGCATCCAGACAAAGAAATTCAAAGATGGTCTCCAGCATTGCTTCCTCAATCCCTGGGCTGAGCTGTCATAAACAGGGACAATGACACCTGCTTTTTCTGGGAGAGGGCAAGAGGTTGGGCAGAGCACTTGGGCCCAGGGTAATGCAGACTTCCAGTTTACAGTCTTCCAAACATGGTCAGAGAACTCTGAGATCCCAGGGATCCCTTTGGGAGGGTCAGGTGGGAAAGGCTGCTTCACAGTGGCCATGAGATGTCACCTGCCTTCATCACTCTCTCGAGACTGTGTGACACATGGTATCATCACAGACTGATGCAAGACACAGAAGTGAGAACCCAGCTGATATCACCAGAGTGACATCCAAGAGACTTGCAAAAATGAGAAAGCAATGCCATTTTTGTTCCATTTTCATGCTTTGCTTCAAAAAATATAGTGATTTTGGACAAAAAAAAATGAGAAGCAGGCTTATCATTAATTTCCACTGAATTACTAAATGCACGTAGAGTATGCTGGCTTTAATTATTCACGTATTCACAATAAGATGTGACCCACATTAGCAAGCACTCTTGGGTAAAGATACACTGAAATCAGAAGCCTTGAGGATTGCTGGTCAGCTCCGCTGCTGGGGTCAAATGGGGCAGGTATTCTGCAAGGCAGCTGGGGACAGAATGTGCACCTAGGCTCTGGGCAGCCACCCCTCATCCTAGCTGTGGGACCTAGGGCTTGAACTTCCACTCTTTCAGCCTCTATTGTTCCTCTATGATAAGGCCAACCAAAGTGAGTGACTCTGAGATAATACACTTGGCAATAGCCAACATAGAATCCAACACAATCAAGCAGGTAGTTAAGGCCACCAACACTCGCCTTCAGTCTCTCTTCTTAGGCCACTTGTGTTTTTGACTGGCCAGAGGCCTCCCTGCTTGCTTATTCTCCAGATGTTGCCCTGCCTGTGCCCACTGGGTCAAATCCAAGAAGCCCCCTCCTCCTGTCCAGCAATACTCACCTCCACACCTGGGACTCCTGGTGGCCCCATGGGTCCTTCATCTCCCTGGAGTAGGAGGGCACAAGAAAAGAAGAACAAAGGAAAAAATTAAACGAGATTCTGGTAGAACTTGTGCTATAAGGAGGGAAAAGTGCAGAGGTCCTCACAAATAGACAGGGTGCCTGGCTCACAGCCTGGTCCCCACAGGTGGGGAGGTGTCCACCAGTCACCCAAGGGTCATATCACAAATCCCAATGTCTGAGCTGTTGAAGAATGGGATCCCAGGCTGCAACTCAAAGACAGACTCATTTATGAGCTCTGTACCAGACATTAGCCCTGGTGTGCCTCAGTTTCCCCAGAGTGAATATCCTTAATGACAGGCTTCAGCTGAGTCCTAGAGGACAGGGGTGACATATTATTGTTTTAAAGATGCCGTGCCACCCTGCACACAGCACTCGGGCAGCCAGTGTCCTGCATATCTGGTAAATGGATGAAGGAGTAAGTGGTCTCATAAGCCCAGAGCCTGGCTTTTCCTGGACAGCTATGTGAGCAAAGACAGAGGCCTGGGTTGCAATTGTCTCTCTCTTCTTTCACTTCCATCCCTGTTCCTGATTCTGCAGCACGTCACAATAGCCTCCAGCTGGCCCTTCTGGCAATTGGGACCTGACCACAGTCCCCTCAAAGCAACCCTGTAGCAAGTACCTCTAGTTTCCAGGAAAGCAGTCTCATGCAGTGACTCCCGGAGCCAGCACTGGGACTCTGCCAGACCCACACCCAGCTCAGAGAAAAGATCGAGTCAGCAAAGGCCTGCTCGTGGTTGTTCATTCTTCCAGGGCTGTGCACCACGATGCCAAGCAAGGCTGAGGGCCTCATGTGCAAGCAAAAGCCAGGCCGCCTGTGGAAGGCCCAATAGGCCTGAGGCCAGTTCCTCCCCGCACCAGGTGCAGGTAAACTCTGCTGACATCCCAGCTACACATAAGGCATGGCATTTTCATGATGCTCTAGTGTCTCCCAGGAGCATATCTGAGAACAACATAGAATCTGAGCATGGACTTTGGGCTAAGGCACACATGGGTACTAGCCAAGGCCTTGCCTGCTATTAAAATGGGGTCTGCCAATGATTTTCTTTCCTGGATCTTCAAGGACCCACTTCCAAGAAGGGACCAACCCTTCCTATCCTCCCAAATCAACACTGATAAACTGCAATTGGTGTGGAAGGAAGTCACTTTGTCCCACCAGGTCAGAGAAGAGTCACAGGCTGGGTTGTAATGGAACAGATGCTCTGGAATCTGAAGTCGCCCTGGCCCCATCAAGGCTTTGGTACCCTGGACAGAGTCAGCTGGGTGCTGAGACAGGCTGGTGAAGACAAAGAGGGACAGAAGGGGACAGGGGCATCTCACCTCAGGTCCCAGCTGCCCAGGAGGTCCAGGCAGGCCTCGGGCTCCAGGCTTACCCTGGGAAAAAAGAACAGAAAGGGCCTCAGAGGCAGTACCCCCACCTTATGTTGGCAGGACTCTCCAGCAGGACAGCCAACTTGGGCCCTGGGATTTCTCCAGCCAAGGACCTTAGGTGGGAGAGGACTCACCTTCATGCCTTCAGGACCATTGTCCCCTGGGGGGCCAATGTCTCCTGGGAAACCCTGTGGGAAAGCAGAGAGCCAGGTCACCTGGACTGATTGGCAGGTTCTCAGAACATGCCCCATCCACGGTGTGCCTTGGTGCCCACCCCTACCACTACTGTCATGTGACCCAAGGTAAGCAACTTGTTCCACCTCTTCAGTCCCCAAGCCTGACTTTGCAGAGTGGCTGAGAAAATACAGAAGGAACTGAGTGTAATGACCCATGTCTTTAATCTTTGCACTGGGAACGGGAGGCTGAGACAGGAAGATAAGGAGTTCAAGGTCATCCTTAGTTACACATCAAGTTCAAAGACAGCTTATGCTACATGGGACCTGCGGAGAGAGAGGTCGGGGAAGAGAAACCCAGAAGACGATTCAGGAACACCGAAGGCTGTTACATACAGTCATCTGACTCAGCATGGAGTCCCAGGTTCCAGGAACACTGAACCCTGAGTCAGCTGTCCTGCCTGAGAAACCTTACCTACAATCCACATTTATCCTGTGGGCCATGACTTGCCACATTGGTTGTGCAGAGGCAACTGCTAAAGGCCTTTCAGAAGCTAGAATTCCTAAGATTCCCCTGCCCAGAGGGCTGGGCTCCATAACACACTCCCATCCTGGCCTGTAGCTTTAGGTGACCTGTCCCGATGGGTGACCATGCCCCTAATAGTTCAAGTCTGGAGCAGAGAGGCCTCCTTCCCTCTACACCCTGGGGCCTCTGCTGGGGACCCCTCTCCCTACTCCAGAGGCTTGTGTCTATCATAGCTGCTAGCCAGGGGCAAAGTGCCCTTTGGCCTAGCTGTTTCTAGTGGGCCAGTTTCCACAAGCTAGTATGGAAACATTTCTCTGGGTTTTATGTGGAATACCTCTGCTAATCCAGCCTAGAAACCCATTAGCTGAGGGCAGTCCTACTCCTTCCTTCCTGCCAGCTAGAAATCAAGGCCTTTCCTTATCTTTCATGACTCTGACTGAAATGCCCCCTCCCACTTTGTTCTTATGTTGTTTTTTTTCTTTTCTTTTCTTCCCTTTAACCGCATACTACTAATTTCTGTTAAATCCTTTTGTCTTTTTTTTCCCAAATGATCCTGAATATCTTTTTCTTTAAAAGTCTTATTATGTCATTCAGGCTAGCTTGGAACTTGCTATGCAGACCAGGCTGCTCTTGGACTCCCAGAGATCCCCCTGCCTCAGCCTCCTGAGTGCTGGGATTAAAGGCATGCACCACCACATGTGTATGTAGGCATACAGTTCTGAGTTTGGAGCTAGCACATTGAAGTGGAAGTTCCTTCAAAATGGAACCCAAATCCTGTCCTTCACTGTGTGATGGGCAACTTACTCAGCCTCTCTGGGCCTTGACCTATAGAGTAGTTTTAGATCAAACCCTCCCAGGGCAGTGCTAAGGGTGAAATGTGTGATGGAAGCCAAGGGCTTACATTGGCACCTGGGGTGAGTGCACACTACAAACTTGCATCTACAAGAGCTTGTATTGGGAACACCCTTGCCTGGGGTTGCCCATCTCCTGTGGGAACATAACAGCCAAGGTATGAATCAGATCTGGTGATAAATAAAGGAGGTTATTCTGTGAGCAGGCTATGAGCAGGGGCTCCCTCCCTGTTCTTGGGGGCCAGGTGCTGGCCAGAAAAGACACCAGCATGCTCATAGCTTCAGCCAGAGCCACTCCTGCCTATGGAGTCAGCCAATCAAAGCAGCACAAGGATAGGCTAGGCAGACCCCAGAGGGACCCTGGGAGCCAGAGTCAAGCTGAACTGCTACTGAACAGTGACCCTGAGGCTCCAAGCCTTGTTTTCCTATCCATAAACAGGCAGCACACTCTGCTCTCCACCCACCACTGGGCTTCAAGCCTTGTTTTACCATCCATAGACAGAGGCAGAGCTCTCCTGCTCCCCACCCACGACCCCTGCCATGGTATGACAAGTTCCCTTCCTTAGATGCTACCCAGCTCCTGGCCCAAGAAGAGCCTCATCCATCCATTAGTTCATGTTCAGGAGTGAGCATTCCTCCCTCATTGGCCAGGCTGTTGGGAAATCCAGACTCAGGAGTCTTTTTCCACATTGAGCAGAGGATGGAGGAGAGGCCAAGTTCATCTGTCTAAAGATAGGGTTGTGTCCTGGCCAAAGTCAACAGAGCAGAGAGTCAGACTGTGGCTTTTAGGAAGCATGACCTCATCCATTGCAGAAGGCTATGAGTGTTCTCTGGAAAGCTTGGGAGGGCCCTTAGAGCCAGGCTCTTTCCTTGGCTGCAGGAATCTCATGGAGGATCAAGACTCCAAGACCAGGGAGCTCCGGGTGAGGGGTGGGAGCCCTGGGTGAGGATTGGGTGACACAGAAACCCTGGTTAGGGCAGCATACTACTGTAATGGGGACCAGGTTAGTGAGGCTAGAGTGAGTGCCCACTTGGTCTAGCCTCGAGAGGTTCATCATCACGTGTATCAGCAGCTACCAGGTGCCCTCCATGTTCCCCAGAGCTTAGCTGGCATTGCCATCCTCCATTGTTTCACATTCTTCAGCCAATCCAGAATCAGCAGCTCCCTTCCCTCCCCACCATGTCTAGGAGCACTGAGCCCTGACGAGTAGCCAGGGAAAGAAAGGTTCAATGGAGGTCCCTGTGAATAGACCCGCAGCTCCAAAGGGGAGTGGACCGCAGCCCTGGAAGGCTTTGGAGATGGCTCTGTGGGAACCACAAGTGTCAGGTTGGCCATCACTAGGGAAGGACTCTAAGGTTAGCTTGGAGAGCCCCTGGGTGAGACAGGACTAGCTGAGAAGGGAAGGAGAACACAGAGGGTACTGATCTGTGGGTTTCCTTTCTTTTTTCCTTTTGGTTTCTGAGATAGAGTCTACCTTGCTTACGCTGACCTTGAGCTCCCAATTATCCTCCTGCCTCTACCCCCACTGGAGTGCTGGGATCCTAGCATGCACCACTGAGACCATTTCTAGCCTTGGCCTTGTCTCTCATTTTATGTGATCCCAAGCAACTCCTTTACCATCTCTGGGCACAACACTAAGTCCTAGTCAGATGTAAGGGGCAGGGGACACACACACACATACACATACAAAGAGAGTGGGGGGGCAGACAGACAGACAGACATCACATACCTCAGGACCAGGAGGTCCAGGAAACCCAAGTGAGCCTTTGTCTCCAGCTTTGCCCTGTGGAAGACATAGGATCACCACACAGGATTAGCATGGGCCCTACCGTCCATCAACACCCTATCCTCAGCTGAGGGCAGTTGGAATTACACAAGTGAGATCTGCCTAGCAGGCTAAAAGAAGCAGTTACTACAATGTCTTCTGCTATGTGTACCAGCCAGGAGACTCAGGCAAGTCACTTCAGCCTTCAGAATCTAAACTTCCACATCTAGAGAGGGAAGCACCCATCACCACCGACCCTCTGTTCCTTGGGCGTGGGCAGCATGCATGTAAAGAAAGTGACAAAAGGCATGACACAGGCTAACATCCAGTGAAATGAGATGGGGGGATGTCCTTCTGTATGCTGTGAATATATGTTTCTCTTATTGGTTAATGAATAAAGCTGTTTTGGCCAATAGACAGGCAGGATGTAGCCAGGCAGGTAGTATAGGCGGAGCTACCAGACTAGGAAAATTCTGGGAAGAGGAAGGCAGAGAGTGAGTATGGAGAGAGACATCATGTAGCTGCAGAGGAAGAAAGAGGTCTGAGCATCACCGGTAAGTCAAGACTTCATGGAGATACACAGATTAATAGAAATGGGTTAATAATCAAGAGACAGCTAGCCAATAAGAAGCCTGAGCCACTGGCCAAACAGTTTATAATTAATATAAGCCTTTGTGTGTTTATTTGAGACTGAAGGGCTGTGGGAACAGGTGGGATAGAAACTTTTGTCTACAGGATGGTATCAGTAGTGTGCATGGGCATGCAGAATCTGGTTCCAATTAGAGTCCATTGGTGGGCAGGGCCTAGGGCTGGTCTAGTACCCGGCATGACTCCTGCCCTTCAGTTTAAGAAACTATCTAGGAAATTGACCAGTGGCTATCAGTGCTCAGCTCTGCTCAGCCCCAGGACAGCTGAGAAGTCTTGGACGTGAGTGCAACTCCAGCCACGGTCCATAAGCAAGTGGAGGGTACTGGCTTCAGTATCTCAAAGCTACAGTCAGGTGGAGGGATGAGGAAGAGGAACTTACCAGAGGCCCTGGCTTTCCTCGGGCACCTGGGACCCCTGGCAAGCCCTGACTACCCTGTGAAGAGAAAGAAAACTGGGTTATCAGAGAACAGCCATGCCAAGAGCATTCACAGTTACCCTCCTGCCGGCCCATCTTCAGGAAGGATGAGGGCCTTCCTCCCCCACTGCAGGCTTGGGCTGAGCTCACACTTGTTGCACCCCAAGACTTGGGTTCCAGGGCCGGGAGAAGCCCTGGCCTACTGTGACAGGATTCAGGGAATCTTTGTCCATAGTAGTCCTACAGTGCCCTTCCAGCCACTTGAGATCAGAGCCCAAGGGAAGAGCAGCTAGACCTGTATGTTTCAACCTAGACATGGACACTGGGGTCAGGGCAGGCCAGCTAGGAGGAAGGGAAGGGGGGCTGGTCAGCATTTGGGCCTAGTGGGCTGGCAGGGAGGGCCAGATGTGGCCACATGGTCAATCCTGGCAGAGGAGCCATTCTCAGCAGGCCACAGCTGGCCCCTCAAGACAAGGCCACCATGGATCATCTGTTGTTCCTTCTGTCAGCACAGCTAGTCCCTTCCTCCCTCCTTCCCTCCCTCTGGCCAACTTGTCCTGAATTTTCAGTTGAGCATGGGGCGCAAGAGGAGCTGTCAGGGCAGTGGAGGGCCCTGTTCTCCATGGAATTCAGTCTGCAGGAGGTTAAACACAGGTCCCCAAACTAAGGAGAAGAGTATTGTGAGTGAGAAACAGACATGTGTCCAGGACATCAAAGGCCACTGTCTGAGAAAGTAGGGGAACAAAAGGCATCTGAACAGGATGGTGCAGAGGCCAGGGGCTGGGTTCAGATAGGGAAGGGTGTGTTCAAAGAGCCTGAGGCTCCCAGGACAGTTTAGTGGTTTTACAACACAGCCAAGGGGAGAAGAAAACGAAAATGTCAGAGGGGCCCAGAGACAGAGGTCCTGTGTCACTGGGTGGAGCATCAGGACTTGTCCCTAAGAACAGCTGGGAGCCATTGACAGAGTATGAACAGAACAAAGATGTACCCTCGAAAGGACAATTTGGGGGCAGTTAGGAAGGACAGACTGAGGTAGGTAGCAGTGGCTGGGAAAGAAGTTCAGAAGCCACTATGAGGTTCAGAGAGAAGTGACAAGTGCACCCTAGGCCAGCAGAATGAGGGTGGATGTGGGACTGGAGGCATCAGATAAAATTACCTTGTCTCCTTGGAAGCCGGGATCTCCCGACACACCTGGGAACCCTTGTTCACCCTGAGTACACACCAGCAAAGAGGTTATAAGGAGGGGGACATGCAACCCAGGAGCTTTCCCTGAATAGCAGAGCCTGTGGAGGAGCAGTGTGCAGGCTGTTCTTGTGGCCAGCAGCAGTCTCGGCTCTAAAGCAGTCAAGGTCCCATCCCCTAGGTGGGGTGAGGAGCCTAGGGTGAGGGGACCCTCCCACTGCACAGCTGCTCAGAGCAGTGCCAAGTCCACCTGGCCCTTTCAGAGAGAACAGCGGGTTTCTTGTAGGACAGTTTCTTCATCCTTCAGGCTCTTCAGCAGCCATTGATGTCAGCATGCAAGGGTGAAAGCTGCAGGGCCAACAGCCTAGCCACTATGCCTGCTGTGAGCTGTCATGTCTTCCTGTCCTCTTTCCATACCAGCAGCTGGCTTCTAATGAGCTGCTTTTAATCAGCTATCATGGGAGACACCAGATAGCTGGCTTATTTGGACCGTGTGCAACAGGAATCAAATGGGCACTGACTGAGCTCTGGGCGGTTCTCTTCAGAAGCCTTGGGGACAGGATTCCTCTGCTTCCTCCGGGTCCAGTTCTGGTAAATGAGCTGTCCCCAGGCCAGCTGGAAAGGTGCCTCCCCTTAGGGCTAGAACCATCTCGAAGCCCTTAGGCTCCTAGCCCATAGCCTTAGCCTATATTGCAGTAGCCTATTTGCTCTGGTCACTGAGACCTTAGGAAGTTCCAGAGATAGGAGGAAGTAGAAATCTCAGGAGATCAAGGTGGCAGCGAAGGCTGTGACCTGGCATACAACTGTATCATTGGAACAAAAATTGGAATTGAAAAGGTTTATTTTTTTAATTTGTTTTTTTTGGGGGGGGCTTTTTTGTTTTGTTTGGCTTTTTCTTTTGTTCTGTTTTTCTTTCTCTAGAACCTACAAATAACAACTGTGAAAACTGAGTCCCAGAGAAGGCAAGATATTGATCTTCCAATGGAAAAAAATCTCCTACAAGGTCATAGAGTTTGGGGAGGTGTTTTCTCTCTCTCTCTCTCTCTCTCTCTCTCTCTCTCTCTCTCCCTTTCTCTTTCTCTCCCTCTCCCTCCCTTCTCTCCTCTCTCCCTTCACCTCTGTGTGTATGTGCATGTGTTTTATGTGCAAAGAAGGGCTGAAATTATTAAAATATGAGAGAAGGAAAGCTTAAAGGTCACCTAGGAAACCAGGCTACGATCTGGAGAGCCAGGCTGAGCTCACTCCAGGATGTGCCTTGGCTGATCCTAGAGAGAGCCTGGCTCAGAGCCAGGTGGGGTCATGGAAAGTCAGCATGAGCAGGAGAATATGGAGATGAATGATGGCTCTGTGGTCCAGGGAGGGCTAGAGGCAACATGCATATGGCTGGGGGAGCGCAAGCTGAAGACCCTGGCCCAGCCATTGGGCAGGGTCGTGACTTTCCCTCTCTCCATCTTCCAAAGGGGCATTGAATGACTTCCTCCTCCTCCAGTTTGTTTCAGAGCTAAACATCTCAAGTGCTCCTGGTAGCCCCACCAGCTGCTGTGACAAGGACATGATGGCACCAGGTTCATTTCTTTGTTTTCCAGAGCTGCAAACTTGCGGCCAGCCCTGCCCCAATCGCCCATGCAAAGCCCTCTACCACAACTTCATCTTCTCCACTTCCTTTCTCCTTGGCCAGGACTTCCGTTATTCCATGGAGCTGATGTCTCAAGCCTCAGAGGGTGTCAGGACCTCCCCCAACCCCCACAAACCCTTCATTTCGAGAGGGCTAGACGAAAGGGCTACAGTACCAGATAGAGCCTAGAAAGGCAACAAAGGCTTATGCATGATGGAAGAAATCAGAGAGGTAGCAACAGGTAGAGAAAGAACTGAAGCTACCCCGTCTTGCTGGCTGCCGGAGAAGGGACTGAATAAAATCGCCTGGCTCTATTCTTTTGGGGGTAGGGCTTGAAAATTCGATATCCTAAGAGTCAGGGACTTGGATTAGCTCCATAACACACAGACTTGGTCACTATCTTCCCTTCTCTGGCACTCAGTTTCCACAGTTGTCAGTTGCAGGTTCTAGAGTAAGTGACTTCCCAGAGTCTTGTCAATTCAGACCTTATGACTTCCATTCTGCTCAGTGGTGGAACTCTCTAGGAACCCAGGTGCCACATTGACGACACAAGGGCCCAGCCATCTAGCACAGGTGCAAGAGCCTGGGTGATGAGGGACTGAGTAGTGAGGCCATCTCTTATGGATGTTCAGGGGGCCACAAAACATGCCACATACCCTTTGGAGTTCCAGGGTTACATAGAAACTACAGGGAAGGGGAGAGATGTCTGTACAGGCACAGTATGCCTGCATTTGGCAGCTATCTGTCATTCTGATGCCCTGTGACCTATGCTAGGTGCTACCTGTCTCTGGGCCCTGGGACTCACCTCCCCTTTTCAACAAGGTTTAGCACAGGGTTGAGACAACAAAAGTTCAGTGTCAGGGCTGTTCATCATAGGCCTAGGAGCAGCTTTCCCAGGGGCAGCAGGAGAAATAGGTGGTACTTGGAGGCTGGCCTGATTAGCATAGTGTTTCAACCTGGGCGCTGTCTAGGGCTGGACTCTCAGAGCCACACAGGGATACAGGGATACCAACACCTGTGTCTCCACTCTCCTTGTTCTGAGGCTGTGATTCCTGCATGCCTTGGAGTCATGCTCTATATCTGAGCCAGAAGTCAGCCTTGACTTACCCCAGACCCATGCCCCTCCCCCCAGTCCCTCCTGTCCTATCTGCCTCAACCATCAGGCCCCCACAGCTCTTGAGTCTCACACACCAGGAAATAAGCCAGAATGGTAGGGGCAGAGGACTAAGAAGGGAAGTCACAGTGCACGGCAGAGGAGCCAAGCGGTTCCAGCTATCCTGGGGGAGGGGCATGCAGTAACCCACAGGCAGTAAGGGAGAGTTCCGATCACCTTATCACCTTTCAGTCCGGGCTCCCCCACGCCGCCCATCAGTCCCTGCAAGATAGGTCAAGGTCACAGAAGTCAGGGTCTGACATGCTTCAAGACTCTGAGCTGGTCCCCACCCTGGGGCTCTGTGATCTGATGAGCAAAGTGGGCAGCGATGCCCACCTTGCAAAGCAAAGGGTTGTGTGATGAGCTGAGAGAAGCTGCAGTGACTCCCACCCCTGAACTAAACCCAGAGCAGGAGAGGCTGACAGCAAGGGCCTGGGCTGTCCTTGGCAAGTTTCTTCCACTTGTGGGGACTGCTTGCCGTGAGGGTTTCTACATCACTGGCCATGAATCCCACATCCCAGAACCACGCTGGCCTCCCACTCAATTTGTGGACTTGATGTCCAATAAAGATGTCTGGCCTAAATGACATACAGATGCTGGCCAGCTCTCAAGCCAACCTTTCCCATCTTCCCTCACAGTGACATCAGACAGTGCCTTCCTTCTGGGGTGCTCAGTTGGGGTAGGACCTGAACTTGGGGAGCCTCATTTAACTTACCTTCATGCCTTTGGGTCCTGGGTAGCCAATGGAACCTAGTGCTCCCATGTCACCCTGGGAAGAGACAGAGAGAAGGACGTCATGAGAGGTGGCCCTGGGGGTGGGTCTGGGAGGAAGAATCCTCAGGATCCCAGGGCTGGACCAAAGATGCAGTTCACACCCTTGGGCTGGTCTTGGAATTAGGAGCATTCTGCACCGTTCACTTCCACTTGGAATCAGAGCCAACTACAATGCATGATCTTGGCCACAACTCAGTAGTTGTCACACCCCTCCCAGAACTTCTCATTAGACAGCAAGACTTCTGTCCACTAAATGAAGGACTCCTAACTTCTTTGGACTTTAGTCTCCCTCTCTGCAAAAGGGGGACAAGCACTCTCTGCTCTGGGGCTGCATATGTTTATTCTTTGGGGTAAGGGATGAGAAACACTCCTGCTCCCCAGGGCAGTTGAGCAGCTCCTTACAGGGCAGTCATGACAGAAGACATTCTGGGTTCTCTATATTGTCTGTGGTCCCCAAGATGCAGGGATGGCTCTTGGACAACAGGTTGAGGATCCAACTTTGAGGTCAGGAACAATAGACTCCTGGGCTTGGGAGGTCCAGTGACCCCAGGGATGTTCTTCACAGAGCCTCTAGATGGCTAGAGGGACATTTCACATACCAGTCAGCTTGTCCCTCTGCCAGTTACCTATCATGGGACGGGGGAGTAGCAACAGTGTCCCTACCACTGTTCCAAGGAGTAGCTGAATTAGTAGGTGAGAGGATGTCTGGGGCAGTGTAGGTTGTCACAACTTAAGAGAGGTTACTGCTAATGCCCTTCCTCTATAATGAGATTGATGGATGCCTTATGTGCCATCACAGAGCCTTCATCCAGTAGCTGATGGAAACAGAAGCAGAGACCCACAGATAAACACTGAGACGAATTCCTGGAATCCAGTTGTGGAGAGGGAGGAGTAATGAGCAAAGGGGTCAAAACCATGCTGGGGAAACCCACAGAAACAGATGACCTGAGCAAGTAGGAGCTCACTGACTCCAGACTGACAGCTAGGGAACCAGCATAGGACAGAACCAGCCCCCCTGCACATGGGTGTCAGTTAGGAGGCCTGGGCAGTCTATGGGGCTCCTGGTAATGGAACAGCATTTATACCTAGTGTACGAATGGAAATTGGGAGCCCACTCCCCATAGAGTGATACCCTCTCAGCCTAGACACACACAGGGGTGGGGGTAGGGGGCCCGCTTGGTAGGCCCTGCCCCAAATGATGTGGCATACTTTGATGACCCCCCATAGAAGGCTTCACCCTTTCTATGGCGCAGAAGAGGGATGGGATGGGGGTCTGGGGCGGGGCATGGGAGAATGGGAAGGAGAGGGAACTGGGATTGATATGCAAAATAAGATTGTTTCTAATTTAAATAAAAAGGAAAAAAAAGATAGTTTGTTTTGTGTGCTACAGCGATGGCTCAGTGATTAAGAGCACTGCTGATCTCCCAGAGGACCCTGGTTCAATTCCCAGCACCCACATGGCAGCTCATGACTGTCTGTAACTCCTGTTCCAGGGGATCTGACCAACACCCTCATTAATATACATGCAGGCAAAACACCAATGTAAATAAAATAAAATAAATAAATTGTTAAAGATAGTTTGTTTCCCTCTCCCAAAAAGAGAGGTTACTGCCATCCAACAGTTAGAGGTCAGTCAGGGGCCACCAAAAACCCTGCAGTGCACAAGACAGACCCCAGCAAAGGGTAACCCAGCCCCAGACTCAAAAGTGCTGAGGTCAGGGAATCCAGGCTTAGAGCAAAGTGGGTGAATTTCTTTGTTGAAAGCCCACTCCTTTCCCTCAAATGTCACTTTGCTCACTCCCTCAGAGCCACCCCCAATCTCAGCCATAACATGGAGTTGTTCCAGGAAAAAGCCATTCTTTTCAGCTTGTTCATCTTTCCTCACTGCCCTAAGTGCTATATAATTGCAATCAACATACTTGACCTCTCTGGGCACCTGCTCCCTACTATCCTGATTCAGGCTCTCTGGACACCCCAGCAAAGGCTCTGAGGTTGGGGAACAAGGTCAGCTCTGGACAGCCAGGCTGTAGAATTTGACCTATGTTCCTGTTGGAGCTGCTGGGAGACACCTGCTGTGTTGGTGTATCCAGCAGCAGAGAATGCCAATGGAGAGCGGTGGAGAGGCTAGAGGACCTGGAGATGGGTATCAGAGAGGAGCTCTCAGACCAGACATGCCTGTTCCTCCCCTGGCTGGAACACAGGACACCTCCCTGAGCTGCCTGGGTAACCATGGCAAGTATGTCACCACTCAGGACTTCAGGACTGCCACTTGGCTGGGTTCAGCCCTCTCTGCTGAGAGGCTAGCAAATCCTGCCTTCACTGTAGACCAGGGAACTAGTCCATCAAGAAAAAGAACACCCCGGTCTAACAATGACCATCATGGCCCAATAAGACCATTGCAGAGCATAGAATAAGAGTCCCTGATTCTCCTCTACTCAGTTACTTCTCACAACTTTGGCAGGTCACTTTTCCTATCATGGCTGATGTACCAAAGAAGACGCCAAGATCCAAAGGCCGGTGCTGCAGCCATGTCCAGTTCTGAAGTCTTTGGAGAGAAGTAAAGTGAGATGGGAGGGAAAGCCAGTCTCCCAAGGCTGCATTAAAAACATCCCTGCTGACCAGGCCCAAGGCTGCCAGTCTCTTTCTTGGAGGAAGGTGATGCCCATGGTCCCCGTGGTATGGTGGACAGAGCAGACTGTAAGAGATGGCTGCTCCCTAGGCTATTGACAGAGGGCGGAGGACCAGCCAGCAACTCCTCAAATTGGCTTTTCCTGTTGCAGCCTAAACCAAAGGGCAGCTTGTGTGGGGACTAGAATCACACAGGCTGGATGATGAGTGTGTAGGTCATTCATAGGCTGTGTGGATGTTGGAGAAGGGGCCTGGCATGGATACACATTACTCCAAGGGGGACGAAATTGTGGTGAAAGGACCCTAGACATGAGGACTGCAGCTGTGTGGCGTCAGAGGAGGCAGTAGTAGCTGCAGAAGGTAGGTCTTAGAAATATGGGATCCCAGATTGGCCTAAAAGGGAGGGGAAGAAACTCTGCAGGCTACTGTCCCCAAAGGACATCTCATAGAGCCTGACTGCCGAGTGTTCCCATGAGAAAAATGAGAAAGACCCTTATGTTAAAACCATGTCTAAGCTCCCAGACACTGCTTCGCACCATCCCCTTCCTCCCAAGGCCCCCCATCAGGATCACAACCAACACAGCTGAAAGCAATTAAATCCCCCCTGCTGTGTGTCCACTTCCAGAGGCAGCTGCCAACCCTCCTCAGTCCAGCCCTCCCTAGCCAGACTCTGAATGATGCACGGGGGCCCGGCTAGCAGTTCATCACTGTTCACCCATGCAACCTGCATGGCAGTTACAGACACGGAAAAAGAAGGCCCAGCAAACCTGCCCTGGAAGTACTGAGTGGTGCAAAGGCAGGACCAGACCTCAGATCTGTCTGTTTGCCCAGGCCTTGCTTACCTACCCACCAGGGAGCTGCCCTTCAAGAAAACTGAGCCTCCTAGGGTCTAGGTTAGGAACAGGAAACGAACCTGGGGACTCTGCTCTTATACCAGAACAGCGCATCCTAGCCTGTGCCCCACACACGCCCTGTCTCTGTCTCTATCTGGCACAGAGGTAGCAATGAAGAGGTTGAGTGACATGTACAGGCTGAGCCCTGGCTTATGGGCTGTGTATCCTCAGGTAGGTGTCTTGCTCCCGCTGCGCCTTTTTCTTCCCTACAAGATGGTGATGAGCTCCCTTCAGGCATGCAAGGGCTGGTTAACACCAACTAACCATGTTCCTGACCAGCTCTCCACTCAGAGGACAGCCCTGGTCCATTAATCACAGCAGTGTCTTCATATTTGGGATTTGGGGACAGATCACAAGTTCTTTGGTTCTCATTCGGTGCAGAAGCTAAAAGTCTCTCTGAACAGAAGAGCCAACAGCGACTTTTGTGGTCTATTTTCTGAAGAGAGCAGTTTCCCTGCATGTCAGCCATGAGCTTCGATGACACGGAGAGGGCTACTTTTAGTCCTCTCACCTTGGAGCTGGCAGGAAGTCACTGGTGACACGTGGAAACTGGGGACATTCAGATATGGATTATAAGCAGGGCACCCCCACTCCCTAGAGGGCGAGCCAAGGCATGGCATGGCTTCCAGAGCTCCTGCACAGCAGACATAGCACACACACAAAGCAGACAGCCACTGAGTGAGAGATAGCTTAGTCTTCCGTCCTCCCTTCTGGCTGGACACCTGGGACACTGGGACAGAGGCAGGCTGCAGGCTGCAGCAATGCCACAGAGGGTTGAGTATATCTTGGTCTCTATAAAACAATGACCATCAAAGCATGAAGTGTCCTGATGGGGGATGTCTTTCTGTATATATGTTTCTCTTACTGATTGATGAATAAAACACTGATTAGCCAGTAGCCGGGCAGAAAGTATGGGTGGGGCTAAGGGATGAGGAGAATTCTGGGAGGAGGAAGGCAGAGAGAAGCTGTTGAAAGAGTTATATGCTAGAGCAATACAGGAAGCCACAACCTCATGGCAATACATAGTTTAATAGAAATGGGTTAATAATTAAAAGAGAGCTAGCCAATAAGAAGCCTGAGCCATTGGACAAACAGTTTCTAGTTAATATAAGCCTCTGTGTTTTTATTTGGGGCCAATTTGCAGGACCAGGCAGAAAAGAAACTCCACTTACAGTGCCCTGCCCAACATACACACACACACACACACACACACACACACACACACACACACACACACACACACACACACACACAGAGCTAAACACCCATACACTCTAGAAAGCCATGTATGACTCAGTCCTACTTCCTCCTACACTTCAGGGCAGAGTCTCTTTCCTTTCCATCTCCACAGGAAGTCCCTCAGGTTTCTAAACACAGCATTCCAAGAAAAGAGAGGGCACCCACTCAGGGCTTGGTAGTGGCTTGGTGGGCTCAGATCCAGCCCAGTGACCCCACCTAAAGGTGCCAGGATGAGAGAAACTTCATCCTGGCAGAGAAAGGACTCTGTAAATAGGCAGAGAGAGTCTGATACTGGCCAGAGAAAAGATGCAGGGTGAGGAAGGCTGGAGGAAAGAGCAGCTCTTAGGAAACCTTGTAGGCATGGGGCTGAGAACTGCAGGCACGCCCAGAGCTTGGCCCAGGAGTCAGGAAAGGTCCCTGGACTTGGAGCTGAGGGTATTGGACTTGAATCAAGTCCCCGCACACACACCTCCTGCCTTGTGTGACCTTGATCTGAGGTCTATTTTCCCACCTTCCAAAGAGACACTGTTAAGATGCAGCATCAGGCCAGAACAGAAAGAGAGCAGCCCAGTTACATTTGGATGTCAGATAAATAGAACAATATTTTAGCACAAACGTGTCCTAAACATCACACCTGTCATCCAAATCCACCTGCAACTTGCATTTCATCTGGTAGCTCCGAGGTTGGAAGGAACCTGCCAAGTATCAGGAGGAACAGCACAGAGGAAGCATAATCTGGGTCTATAGAACCTTTTCATTCATCCCAGCAGAACTCATTCTCCTCTGGAGCCAACCCAGACGATGCTGGGACAGTACCAAATGGGAACACATGCCAAAGATGACTGTCAGGATTGTGAATACCCCCCTTAGTAAAGTTTGAGACTAGTATTGCTCACACTGAAGAAGTTGAAGGGCAGGGAATGACCATTTGACCCTAAAACAGTCATTCTCAGGGACAATGAGGGTAACTTGGGCTCAAGTCTGGAAAATGAGGGCTCTGCTTGGTTGGACCAGGGAAAGAGAGGTTCTAGCGCCCAAGGTGCTCAAACTGGAGCTTAATGACCATACATAATGACCATACACTATGGTGATCCCTTCAGAGCTTAGAAAAAAATAGATACTAAGACTTCCAGCATGTTCTCAGATTCTCATGGCACACATTGCCAAAGAAGTACTCAGCAAAGTTCTGTTTAATGAACATAAGAGATGAGTGTCTAAGTTAATACTTCCCCATTCCTAGCCAAGGCAGACATCACTGTCAACTGCAGCATCTTCAGCCAAGGAGGATATTACTAGTTAACGAGAGCATCCCCCTCCAAGGCAGACATCACTAGTCAATTGCAACATGCTCTCCCGCTAAGTTCTAATGTGCAATGCTATCAGAGATGTAACACAAAAATAAAAATAGCTATTATTACTGCTTGAAGCCTTTCTATGTTCTAAATATGGCACACACATATGTGTTAAGCTACTTAAACCATCACAGCAATCCCCCAAAGCAATTACTACTATAATGTCCATTTTATAGGTGAAGAAACTGAAGGACAGGAAGGCAAGAACTGTATCCAGGATTGGGATTATATGAGTGGGTGAACTAGGACTCAAGCCCAGGAGGTCTGGTTCCAGAGCCTAGACTGGACCATGTGTATCTGTGGCCCCAGAATAAGTGAAGACAATGATCCCATATTACAAATGAGGGCACTGACCCCACATGATAGAGGATTCCTGGGGTTCAGAGAGGTGAGGCCATCACTGAGGACCACAGCCAAGAGTTTAACCTGGCCCATATCCCTTCACCCAGGCTCTACTCCCATCTGCCTGAGCAAGAACAGTGCTTCTGGGGGACCCTAGCCCCTCTTCCAAGGACAGACTGTTTTGGGGAATGGGGTGTTTCACATTCCTCCTACACCATCTTCAGCCTCTGCCTGAAGAGAATTTCTCAGCACAGTTGTTGGAAAAACAATGCCATCTCCTCATGTCTGGGGAGCCACCTTACATCCCCTGCCATTATACTACAGTTCATAAGGCCAGAGCAGAGAAGCAGATTCTATTGTGATGTTTCTAGGTTCATCCTAGGCTCTGGCCTCTTACTGGCCCTCAGGGCTGAGTCCAAGGTCAAGACTAGGCTCTGGAGGCCAGGCAGCAAGCCCTTACTCTGTGTGAAGGAGCCACCTGCCGAGGCATTTCCAGCCAGGATCAGCGAGGGAAGAAGCAGGCTGAGAGAAGATGGGTAAGCTATCTGCAGGCACAGCATGGCTTTGGCATTAAGCCCTCTATCGCCTTGCTCCTCATTCTCCTCCTCACCCTCTGTGAACTTGAAGGAAGAGGTGCTTCTGACTTTCTCTGTGGGTCCCCTGCCTGCTCCTCACACCCTGGCTACCCCACCTCTGGCCACCGTGGGCCTAGGCATGTGTGTACTTACAATGAGGCCGGGGACTCCTGGTGGCCCTGGCAGGCCAATTTCTCCCTGAAAACACAGAAATCAAGGTGGTGACTGTCCTGTCTCCCTTTACACCATACCCCATGCTTGTGGGACTATTGGGAGCAGACACCCCTCTTCCTGACCACAGTCCTTAGGTGCTCTTTTATGCTTTGGGATTGGAGGAAGATTCTCCCTCTACTCACCTGTAACTTCCAAGCCTAGCACCTAGCATGAAAGACAAACACACAGGTGGGACTGGACCCAGATTGTAAGTGGGTGGAGGTGTTTTTACACTCTTGGTGAGAACACTGACATTTCAGAGGTGAGTGGTCCATTCAAGGTCAGAGGCAAGCAAAGAGGAAAACACTCAGAGGCCCTACTACCATTCAGGCTCTCCAGGTCCCCCCATTCTTGGGGCTTTCCAGATGTCACGGGGAGCTCTTGCCTGAGACCAGAGGATGGGACAATGAGGGGCTGATTCTCCAACTCCAGTCCCCCAAGCTTTATAAATTGACCATCTATTATCCACACCAGGATAAAAAAAAAAAAATCCCACCACCACCTACAACAATAACAAAAAAAATAAAAAAAAATAAACATGGGAAGAGTCTGGCTCACATTCAAAAGAGACAGTCATGAATAAAAACTTGTGGTTCTGGCAACTGATTAACAGTGAGAACTGCCAGCCTCTCCCAAGGCTGTCCTTGTTGATTCAACTATCAGACTGCCCTGAAGGGAAATGATTTGCCAAGGTCCCTCAGCAACTCCATGACAGAGCTGATTCCAAGGCTAGGAAATTGTTCTATTCCTCCAGACCCTAAGGAGAAAGACGTCTCTCCCAATCCAGGGCAACTTCCAGAAGGCCAAATCTTTTGGTGTGATGCTAACCCATTAAGAGGCAAGCCTGGCTGGGCGGTGGTGGCGCACGCTTTTAATCCCAGCACTCGGGAGGCAGAGGCAGGCGGATCTCTGTGAGTTCGAGACCAGCCTGGTCTACAAGAGTTAGTTCCAGGACAGCCTCCAAAGCCACAGAGAAACTCTGTCTCGGAAAACCAAAAAAAAAATAAAAATAAAAATAAAAAATAAATAAATAAAAAGAGGCAAGCCTGTGCAAAGGCCTTAAGTACCCTTGCAAACCCTTGAAGTACTTCTTGCTCCACCTGGAGACCTCACACCTCTTTCCTTATCCCAGTTATTCTGTTATTCCCACAGGCCATTCTTACTCTTCCCTCCCTTCTCTGCTCCAGCCAGCTCTCCCTAGCCAAGTGCAATGGCCTAAGGAGGTAGCACTGATACCAGGGGCTACCTTATGGGTGCTCAGCATTGATGGCAATTGTCCACTGAACACCTATAGTGGCCACAACCTTCCCTTCTCTAAAGCATGCATCCTGACCTGCACTTTGAGAGGGAAACTGGTATGGTTTACCAAGGGACAAACTCCACATCCCTGGCTAGGTCAGGCCACAGCTGTGTCCCTGGAGCGTCTGGCTAGGTCAGGCTCAGAAGCATTAATGGAACAGAAATGGACCAACACATGCTAGAGTGCTGATGGAGGACCCCATGAGCATAGCTGGGCACTGCTGTTCTGGTAGAGAGCCCCAGAGCAGGTGCTCCTGAGAACACTGGGCTTGGTCTGCACACAGGTTGACTTTAGTGTCCTCTCCCACCCAGGGCCTGGAGCTTGGGCAAGAAGGGAAAAGCAAGCAGACTTCCCAGAAGGGGCCAGCTATCTCCTTGCAGGCAAGCTGGACCTCTGCGTGTTTACAAACTGTAAAATTGAAGATGCCTGTGAACTTGCCTGTTCCTCCAAAAAAGCTTGCAGCAGCTGGCTTTACCAAGCCAAACTACCTATAAACAATTCTGGTGCCTCCTCCAGGTGGCGGCTGGGGTCTCTCCATCAGACAAAAGCCCCAGAGACTGGGCACAGTAAGGTAGGCTCCCAGGAGGCCACAGAAACCCACAAAAGAAAGGGACTCAGAGAAATTTTTTCATTTTCTGCCAAGGGCACCCGGCTAGTAGGTCACAGGGTGGGGACAACCCAGGTCTGTCTGACGCCCAAACTCAGGCTCCTCAAGTCTGCTGTGCTCTGGTATATTGGCAAGCACTGGAGGTACTTACAGGGTTCCCATCCAGTCCAGGGGGGCCTCTTTCCCCAAAATCTCCAGGGAAGCCCTGAGGGAAGGAAAGAGAAGAAATATAGAGGTTAGCACTCAAGGTTGCTGTTTGGCTCCGAGCCACGCCCCCAGGGGATGCAAGGACAATGTCTGAGCAGGCTCATTCCTCAGATCTTGGGTTCTGAAGTCCTCTCTGCTATCCACAAATACCAGCATACATGGAACCAAGGGACAGACCTCACCAATCTGAGAGATGGGACAGGCACTACCCCAGGTCTGGGACTTGGTCCCAGTAAAGTGGAAATGGCACAGACTGAGGCAGGAAGCTAGGCTCAGACTTAGAACTTTGGCAACTGGTTGAAGTTTCTAGTATACCTTTCTCACCCATAGGCCTCAGTTTCCCCACTGGTCAAAGACCTCTGTGGCTGTGCTTTGCACCTCAGAAGCCATACTGTGGAATTGCCATTCCCATGTCACAATCTAAGGCTGTGACAGGATAAACAGCAAGGTCACATAAGGTCACACTGCAAGGAAAGATTAGCACTATGGTCACAGAGACGCTGGGCCACCAGCCCTGGGCAGTTCTGGCTGGCCCTTCAGGCTCTATGTGACCTGACTAAGAAGGCCTGCACCCCTCAGGGAGCCAGGCAGCTGGAAAAACATCAGCTGTAGGGAGGTGACAGGCAGTAGTGGGGGTGGGAGATCCATTCCTACTTCAAAGGAGAGGGATGTAGCTAGAGCCTGCAAACCCCTTCGCCTCTTCCCATCCAACTGTGGCTTTCCTAAGATGAATGACAAGAAATCTCACATCTTCCTGACAGAAAGGATGAACCAAACTCTGGGGCCAGACTGTGAAGATCCCCTTGGAGGAGTCTCACATTTCGGGTTGCTATTACTTCTGTTATTTGCCGCAGACCCAGCTAGGAATATCCAGTGAGAACGGGAAACCAAAACAACAAAACCAGAAGCAGTGCCATGGTCTGTATCAGAGCAGGGGTCCTGACTCAGTATCTGTGCGTGGGTGCATGGAAGCACGGCCCCTCTTCATGAGCAGCACGGCACAGGGTGGCATTCACTCCCCAAGAAGCCCGGGCTCATTCAGACCCCAGAGAATGAACACTTGGATCAACCGATCGTCTATTTTCCCAGCCAAGGCTACACACCCGTCTGACATTCATGCTGATGGAAAGGTGACTGATCCTATTTAACTTATGGGTAAAGTAGAGGCTCAGGCAGGAAGTCACTTGACCAAGGCCATAAAACCAATCTGTGAACCTCATAAAACCTCAGCTGAGAACCTGGGCTCTGCTTCTGTCCAGTTCCATTCTTATGAGTTTCACATGGGCCCAGCCTGTCATGAGGAGGAGTGTGAGTGTCCACCTGGCAGGTGGAGTGACAGAGTGCGTCCACGCACAGCCATGTCTTTGTGGAGCGCACCTGACCCATACAAGCTTCCTCCTCCCATGCCCCTGAAATCTCTTCTAGATGATACTAGCCTTTCTCCAACCCAGAACCTCTGTCATAATGTTGACTGTTGTCACCTCGTGGGGCAGGAGTCATTGGTCAGGTGGGCTGTGATATGGGATGCCTTCTGAAGGCACTGACTTTCCCTCTGTGGTAGTTGCTGGGGGTGGGGAGCGTGGGCAGGGTAGGAAGGCAGTTCCTCATGGAATGAGGACAATGTGCAGCAGCTCTCGGGCTGGCTCCATATGGTCCTAATAGCGAGGCCTAGGGATTTCCTGTTCTGTTCTTTAGGTTCAGAGTCTAGAGGTGACCAGCCACCCTGGCTTCTCTAGGGAGCTGTGTGACGTGCTGACTAAGGCTGATCCCAAATGATATGCTAGCCAGGCCCAATCCACAGACAAAGCAGGAGAGGAAGGAGACATTCCTTCTAAGCAAGAGGCCTGAGATTTCTAGGTAGCAGCATCAGGTGGGCTCTGCACACAGGGCAGCTCCAAGCTGTCCCAACTCTCCACTCAAACCAACAGCCAGGCCAACAGCCCCGAGCTATCCTAGACCTACCACCCAGAAAGCTCTAAGAGCTTGAATTATGTCAGCTTTACTTCAGAGAACACTAAGACCAGGGAGAGACTCGAGACATTGCCTTCTGAAGGTTGAGTTCAAACCCCAATGAGGCCCTGCTACAGTTCAGCAGTAGACTAAGCCAGCCTGTGAGCCACTGTAGAACAAAGCCATGACAGTTGACAACCAAGCCCAATAGACTGACTCATTCATGAAAGGGACTCTATGCTGATTCTGTGTTCAATATCAAGAGATTCAGAGAGATTAAGAAACCTGTCCAGAGTCACACAGCTATGGGATAGCATGATGGGGACTGAATGCAGGCAGTCCCGCCCTCGAGCTATTCTTTTGGTGTTTTACACTGTGACACCAAGCATGAACAGAGGAGCTAGAAGAAGTTCAGTGTCTCAAAGACCATCCCAGCTCCAGACTAACGCACACTAAATCTGGCTCCACCTGGACATACACGGAGGCCTTGGGGACCAGCTCTCCTCCATCTCCAGCTTTGCCTCTAACGGATGGGCAACATCTGAGAGTTCGGGGTTTTGTTTTAAAAGACTGTTAGGAAACACTAAAGCTTTCCAAAGTGCTAGAACAATTATGAGTGGTCTGAGATGGAGCAAGCCTAGGTGAACAGCGGCTTGCTGCACTGGTGGGAGACAGATCCAAAGCTCCTGATACTCACTCCCTAGCACATGGCCATACCCAGAGGCTACCCAGGGCCTCTGTTCCCTGCCCAGTTGGCCTTCCGGTGCCTACAGGCTGCTCCTGATGTATGTATGATGATACGACTGCACTTCAGCCTATGGCAGCCGGCACTTCCTCTGTTGCCCCAAACCCTGACAGCAGCAGCCTGGCCCATGGCCCAAAGAATGAACTTGGCTCACTGCCAGGCCTACTACATGGCTCCTCTGCTTCCCCAGGTCAGGCCTCTCTGGGACTGAACGCCTCATACTGTGAGCAGGACCAGGCCCAGCAGAAGAAAAAAGACTGGGTCAAAGTGCCACCCTCTCTCCAGATGGGATGAGTACAGAGAGCCTGAGGTGTGGACAGCAACGTGCCAAGGGTTCAGAACTCTAAATGCATTTCAGCCATGCTCCTGACTCTAGAATCTGCTCCTCTGCTCCAGGATGGACACAGGGCCAGGGCAACCTAAGCATTCAGTAGATGACCTGCCGAGCTTCACTCTGTCTCTTAGCCTGCAAACCAATCACCCCTTGGCAGCCTAGGCAAATGGAGCTAAGCATCATTAACTACTCAATCTAGTCCCCTGCAAGCTGCAATGCACCATTACACCACTAGTTGGGATTGGCACCCACCATGGGACTATTCAGCAGCCTCCAGGAGCAACCAACTTTTAAAAGGTATAATAGGTAAATCCTTTAATGTCTGGAAGTCCCTGCACAAGTCTAGCCTGCATCCTTCCTACTGTATTTGAAATGTGCCTATGGGAAAGTGCCCCCTCCCCTGCCCCACGAGGCTCCCAGCTCCCCTGCTTCATGATACAGACCATATCCTACCCTGGTTTGCAAAGCCAACTAGGAAATACAGTCAGGTAATGTCACCAAGGGAAAAGAAATGGAGACAGGTAGGCAGAAGTCTCACAAAGATCCCTGGGATAGCTGTGGCTCACATCTAGATGATGAAGCCCAAGGCCTCCAGCTCAATTGTTTGGGCCTCAGTTTCTGCCATGTGGGAAAATATGCTCCATGCTTCCCTATCTGATGTCTGGGAAAAGCCTAGGGCAGGAAGCCCTGTCCTGAACCAAATAGCTGTGTGACCTTGGGCAAGCGCTCAGCATCTCTGAGTCACACACACAGAGACTGAGTCAATCTTGGGCCATCTGGGCCAGTGTCGGGATTGCCTTCCTGACTCTATGCAGGCCCAGCCACAGCAGACAGGTCCAGGCCATATGCAGCACTGTGGGGTTAGCTGGTTTCACAAGACACCCTAGTGCATTGGTAACCGATCCAGAGAGAAAGAGCTGGACAAAAGGACTCTCTCTGCTGCCTCTTTCTAGAATCAATGAGAGATTCCAGCTGGGACATGGCCTGGCCATCTGCTGTGCATAAGACTGAACCAACGGGGCCAGCAGCCCTGCCAGGTCTAGCCAACTGCCAACATTTTATATCTGGACCTTCTTCCAGAATTACACTCCCATTCTACCGTGAGAGGTGAGGCAAGGGGTGAGAGCCGCAGACTCCTCTGGAAGAGAAAGAGCTGTGTAGGAGAAGCTGTAGCCACGCCTAGTTAGGGGCTGGCTACAGGTGTGCCTGACCAAATAAGTCTTATAACATATATAGATTTATGATAGTTAAGACTGAGCTAGCAGATGAGGAATCCTAGTCATTGGCCAAGCAGCTTTGAACCTAATACAAGTTGCTGTGTATACATTTGGGCCTAACTCGGGTGGGCGGCTGGCGTAAAGCTCACACGTGGTGGAGGGCTCAGGCGGCATTTGGTGGAAAGATTTATCGTAACAGAGCTGGATGGAGAGAAGAGGGGCCATGTGGAAAGCAACCTGTACTATCAAGGGTCCTAGGTTCAGATCCTGACGTTGCTACCAATTTGCTGTGTGACCCTGTCCAAGTAATTTACATCCTCTAGTCAATGGCAGGCCTGACCAGATGAGGCTGAATAGCAACCATCAGGGTGGCAGCAGAGAGCCAAGTGCATGGAAGGAAGATGTCTCAGTGGCAGACACAAGGCCTCACTAGCAGAGGGATGCTGCAGTTTCCCCTTCTGGAATCAATGGCTTTCCTAGCAGAGTCCAGGAAACCTACTTTTATACTTTTGCTGCCATATGGTGTTCCCAAGGGTCAGTCCCTGGTGTCCCTAGCTTAACTGCTCAGTGGCTGCAATGCCTTGGGCATGATATTTAACTTCTCTGGGCCCTGCCTTTCTCTTTACATCTTATCAATAGCTAAACAAGAGGAAAACTAATCCATTATAGCAACAGAGAGGCCTAAACAGAACCAGTGGATTTGGGTTGGGGATGAGGTCAACGCCGAATGGGACCACTCCTGTTTTGGCCTACCACACTCTATAGCATCTAGCCTTGTGCATGCATAAATGAAGATAGACAGAGTCGGGGGGACCTGACACTGTGGAGATGGCATGCTGCCTGGGTGAGCACTTAAGTCATCTGCTGGCCACTAACACAAACACTTGGACAAAAGCCCCAGACACAAAGCCACAAGTCACTGAAGCACATAGGGACAGAGGAGTCACCTGGAGCAGCAGGAACCCCAGGCAGAATCTCATGCCAGCAGCTGTACCTGGGCAGCTGTACCGCCCCACACCCACAGCCGAGAAACAGAGCAGAGAAGCAGACAGTCTCAGGGACCACCAGTGCAGTGCAGCCAGTGGGAGGTGGGGCTACCCGTAGAGTCTGCGTAATAGACACGGAAAATCTTTACCGGCCTACCCATCTCGCCCCTCTTGCCAGGAACACCAGGGAGGCCCTGTAAGGGAAAGAGGAGAAAGACATCATCAAGTGCCAGGAGGGCACCCCCACCTAACCCAAGATGAAGTCCCAAGTAGTCTGGAATGTTTGTCTGGAATATCGGTTCCAGCTGTATGTTCATTGGACAGATGGGGACTCAGGTACTCATGAACACCTACGGCAGGGGGGGGGTCCTAAAGGAAGCTGACAGCACTCCTGGCATTCAGCAGGTGCTCTGTCTTCTTTATATAATGCTCTATATTTAGCTTAATGACAGGGTTACAACTGAGCTTCCAAGTACAGGCTCAGAGGCAGAAGGAACATGTATTAAAGTCTCCAGCCCCAAAGGCCCGTGGGCAGCTCTTTCCTGACTTGGACACTTGGTCAGGAAAACATGACATCTTGGGAAATCTTAAACCTACCCAACCTGAAGATAGTCTATATTCACCCCCAGGACCCACAGAGCTAGGCATCCATGGTGTTCCCTGTCCCTGCTGCCACCAAAGATACCATGGTCCTGCTTGGGATGCTTAGTCTGGTGTCTGACACCTGGCTTCTGTCCCCACCCTTCTCCCAGACAAGCCACACATCATTTTACAAAACAGCCAAGTGTCTGTGCCAGCAATGAGTGGACGCTTATGCAAAGCTGGTGGGGGTGGGAGGGGGAGACTACTTGGGGCTCTGTGGGTGGCCTCTGTCACAGCTACTCAGCCCTGTCACTGTGGCAGGAAAGCAGCCACAAACAGTGGCAAGCTATAAGCATGGCTATGGTCAATAAAACTTCATTTACAAAACAGCCAACTGGCCATCCCCACAGAAATCATATTTAGAATACAAGTGTCTGTTGCTGGTGAGGCTCCTCTGCAGAGTCCCTTCTCTAGTCTCAGTCCCCACCAAGTACCTAGAACACATGGCCTGGGGCCCTTCTACCTTGTCCCTCCCACACACGCTGTTTCCTGCCCCCCCCCCCACTACTCTAACCTGACCAGGTGCCCCCCTCAGGGGATGCATGTCTTCAGCTGGCAATCTGCCCAGCAGGGTGGAAGTGGAGGGGTGATGCAGCACAGACAACACAGACAAAAGACAAAAGTGCTTACCCGCTCTCCATCCGACCCCGGCAGGCCGAAGAGCCCCGGGAGTCCAATGTAACCCTAGAAAAGAGCAGGTAGAGATTAGAGAGGCTGAGCACTGGGTGCAGTTAGCCCAGCCTCCCTGCTGCCGTCCTACAGCCGGTCCTCTGTGATGGTGGTTCCAGCAGTCCTCGATGACATAGACCTTGAGGCAAGTGTATATGCCCGTGGACTGCATGGTGCTGCGTCCACGATGTAGTCCAAAGGCACATACGCTCACACCAGGGAGGGTTGCATAGGATGACAGAGGCCTGGCACCCAGCTTGGGACCTGTGGAAGGAAGCTAGTACCCAGGTTAGATACTACAGGGTTCTGAGATCTGTCTGCCTTGAGGGTGTTCCCTATAGTGGTCCCTCCAAGAGCTCTAAGGTCCTGGACCTACAAACTTGCATCTAAGTACTGCCAGTCAGCATGGCCACCCCAGAGAGCTGACACTGTGTTAGGCACATGTGTGCTCCTGAGTTAACTCTGGCAAGGACCCCACACACTAGAGTTGCTACCAATTTGCTTCAGCTCATTTGTGTTCAGCTCAAAGGCCACCCAGACATGTAACCATTCTATGTCCCTGGCCCAAAGAAAATGTACCTGATTTGCAGTCCCAGGTCTATGCTCCCTCTGAGCCCACAACTAGGCATACCCTGCCTACCTCATGGTGGTAGAACCACACATGCATAGCCCACCTTGAGTGCTCTCCTGACTAGTACCCAGCATGCAGGCTCATAGCCCCAGCACCATGCAGCATCCTGGTAAAGGGTGCTTCTCTCTCTGCCTCCTTGTCCTCTGGTAACTTCTTAAGGGCCAGTATCTAGCACAGGGCTGGTACCACTCTGCACTCTAGATGCTTTGCCACGGTTTAATGAAACTACAGCAATGCAAATGCTTCCAAGCACAAACTACCTGCCAGGTCCGACTTAATGCTTTGTACACACTAAGCACATGATCTGTCCTATCTTCGACAGTTGTCATCTATAGAGTTCACACTTGATAACCTCACAATCAAGTTACAAAGTGTGGGGGGATTATACACACACACACACACACACACACACACCTCTTATAGAATGTTTTAAATTTATTATTTCATGTTGGGTTGGGCTGAATCCATAGCCATCCTAGGACAAATGCAGCCTACATAATGATTAAATTACGGCACCTTCACCATACTCCTGTTAGTTAGAATTCTATACAGGTGAGAACATTTGGGCCTAGAGAGGTAAGGGAACCTGTCTATGGTCACACAGCTCTAGTGTAGCAGATCTGATCTCGGAGTTCGAGACCTGTGGTTCCTAAGTCCACACCCCTAACCAGTGTGTCACGAATACACACACAGTTGAGAGAGACTGGTAGCAGCTCTCCTTGCCCACATACCCACCCCTGTGACCCCCCCCCTCAGCAACCAGCTTGATAACAACCATCATCTTAAGCACTTGTCCCGACTCTTCTGTGTAGAGCTCATGGCTTGTGTTCACAGCAAGTGTGCTCAAAGAGTCCTAGTGACCATCTGGAGTCAGTGGCCGGGTTCTCTGAATCAGTCATGTAGACCCCAGGGGCTGGTCTGAGCAGTGACTCCTTCACACACAAGAGGCAGAATAGATCCTTGAGCCCTTGAGCCCTTGATCCCTTCTCCCAGGGTCTAGACATTGCCTCAGAGGCCACTACTCATGGGAGCCACAGAGACCCAGGATCCCAGGACAAGAGCTGCCCTGACTCTGCATGCCATGTAACATTTGAGGGACCCTGCATTCTATGCTGTGCCCACCTCTGCCACCACTAGACTGCTGCAGATATTAACTCCAATAACATGTCCATGTTGGCCCTCCAACCTGCTAGGGTGTATTTACACCTCAGAAGAGGACATGTCACAGAGGACTTGCCCTGACAGATGGCCATGGCCACTTGCTGAACATTCCTCGAGAGACAGCAAGCCCTACTTCAGGACACCTGGGTCCTGTCTCAGCAGTGTCTTGGCATGCATCATGAACTGAACTACCTAGGCCCCCCATGATCTGAGTCCTTTGTCTTTCCCCTCCATTTCCCCTATTCAACACACCCAGAACCTTCTCTACCCCTGATAGCTTCTGGGAGATTCTATGTAGAGTGCCTTCTTGGCAGTTATAGGCAGTTCAGTGCTTGCCATCACCTGGCTCCATCTCCCCTAATAGCCCTGACCTCCCATGAACCAGTTAGAGGGGCAAGAGATGTCCACTCACAGCCTCACCTGTGTGGGACTAGCCAAAGCCCACTTACCCGGCTGCCTTTGGGACCAGGATCTCCTACAGGTCCAGGGAACCCCTGAAACAGAAATACAGGGGGCAAGGCCATATGGAGACACCCTCCCTGTTGCCAATGCCCCAGGGTCAATCTTGTTTTGGACCTCATCTGTTCTTTGGAGCATCCATGGTATGGGTTGGACCAGGGATGGCTCAGAGGGAGACTGGATAGAAGGCATCTCTGGAAGCCGTTCTCTTAGCCTCGGTTCTCCTATAGAACCTTATAGCCTGCATCATGGCTGCCAGATCTAGTACCTGGCCAGCCCTTTGGGTCCACCCATAGGGACAGCTTTTTGACCCACAGCCTCCCCCTGCTTGCGGCACTAGGGTCACCACCATGGCCACAGCTTCCAGAGCATATACTGCACCTGCCTGCCAGGGTAACCTTTGGCCCCTGGACTGCCCTCAGGTCCTGGCTGGCCCTGAAAAGGAGCAAGAGAATTATTAGGAAAGGTGACTGATGCCCTGCACAGCTCAGTCAGGGTCCTGGTGTGGGGGGAGGGTGCCTGTGGCAAGAATGTGAGGCCAAGAGGGAAGAAGACAAGCAAGGCCTGCTGGGGCCCCAAGCCCACCTCTCTAGAAACTGGTCAGACCAGCTCTGGGGACAAAGCCTTCTGCTCCAGGCTCAAAATAAGAAAGCACAGAAGAGGCCTGGCTGGCTGTCCCCTGGCAGGACTGCTGTTTGAGTTGGGCCAGGAGACCAGAATTCCTGCAAACCCCAAGGCAAATGGAAGGGATAATATCGCCTAACATCGCCTGGGACAGGCCAGCTATTCATGGCTCTAACCAGAGTCCAGGGGCTTCTGCCAGCCCTGGGCTTGGCTGGGCAGTACAGACACAGGCTCTTCCAAGTGTGGCTTACTGGGTAAGGGGGGGATGGTGGTGGGGGAGTCCCATGGCCTTGTTCTGGGGCTCCAGAGAATCTCAGTCCAAGGAACAGGCTGGTACCAAGCAAGGACAGGAAGAAGGAAACCAGGCAGTTCAAGGCAGTGCACACAGGCCTCACCTGTTCTCCAGGGTGCCCTGCTGCTCCAGGATGACCCTTGTGTCCCTGCAGGGTGAAGAATTGGCATCAGGCTCTGTGGTAGGGGATAGGCAACACATTCCCCACATGGATGCAGGTTGTAGGGCATTCGTAGAAACCTCTAGTGTCATCTTTTGTTAGAGCAGAGGACGGGGATGGGGGAAGGTGGTAGGGTGAGAGACTATGAACCACTGGTCCACATCCCAACCCTGTCTCTGAAATCCAGAGTTGGAGGCAGTCAGAAACAGGAGCAAAGGGCCTGTCACATAAGGAACAGGGACAAGGTTGAACTGGCACACATGATGCCTGTTGCCATCAGGATCCACTCCAGCTCATGTACCGTGACCATGTTACCAGAGACACAGCCTCCTTCCCCACTGGCTCTGCTCCTAGTCCAAGGAAAAGAAGGCCACCCAGATGCTAAGTGGCAGCCTTGACTCTTCATCCTCATTCGACAGGGAGGCCGCACTGACTCCTGGCAGGCCCCTCACACCAGAGCTCTGCTGAGAGAGATGCTGTCCCTGACTTACTGTGCAACTTTGGGTGGGTGATCCTCCTTTTGTGGCTCTCAGGTTTGGGATCTGGAACTCTGAGTCCCTTCTGTTCTGCTAACTTGGAACTCCAAGTTCTAGGACCCCTGAGAGTCTATGATGAGGTACAGCAGCCTGCTACTCAGTACAGGTTCTTGACACCTAGCCATATGGAGATCCTGGCAGACTTACTCCCCCCACTTTGTTTCTTCTGTTTCCTTCCCTTTCCTTTCCCTTCCTTCCTTCCCTTCCTTCCTTCTTACCTCCCTCCCTCCCTCCCCTTTTCCTTTCTTTTTTAAGACAGGGTCTCATGCAGCCCATGCTGGCCTCCAATTTGTCATGTAACCAAGGGTGACATTGAATTTCTGACCATCCTACATTCACTCCCCAAGTTCTGGGATCACAGGCCTGCACCACCACATCTGGTTTATGTGGTGCTGGGGATCAAACCCGGGGCTCTAACATGCTGGGAAAGCAGTGATCTATAGTCCCAGTTCCCAAGTGCACGAGCTCTACACACACATAAATACACACTTTCACACAGGTGTAAGTCAACATCCAGGACCCTGAACATGCACAGGAAGTGGCAGTCTTCATTATAAATAGCAGAGTCTATCTTAGAGGGGAGACTTGGGAAATTCCCCAGCATTCTTCCTAATCATCTCACACCGAGAGAGACTGCCACCCATGAGATAAGTCTCCGTCTACATCAAAGCCTGCTATGGGGAAGAATCCTCCACTGGCCAGGAGTAGGCAAGGGAAGCCCCCCAGACAACAGCCAGCAGATGGACAGAAGGATTCAAGCTCTTCTTACAGACTGATCTGGATTCCAGGATTGCTTATCTCCCTGTGGACTGGCCATGTGACCAGAGCCAATGACTCTACCTCTCTGAGCCTTGATTTCCTCAGCAATTATACAATGGGGAGGTAAAAGCCAGTGCCAGGGTGGCATTATCTTTGTGGGAAGCATCAAACATGGTGTCTGGCACTGAATTAAGCAACCTCAGAAACACCAGCTACTGTTTTATTTCTCATTCATTCACTCATTCAACAAACACCAATAAAGTGTGCATTGGCCCGCAGGGTTTTCCACATGGGAAGAAAAAGAGTCAGGCAACATCCTTTGCCTTGAGAGTTTACATTCCTAGAAAGGAACTAAAAACAAAGTAAGTAGAAAAGATAACTGTGGGTGGCCGAAGGCAGAAGGGTGGGTATAATGAGTACTGGGTGTCAGTTTTGCAAGATGAATATGTTCTGGAGATCAGTTACTCAACAACCTGAATGCCGAACATCATTGCCCATGCACTGAAAACTGGTTGAAATGGCTTTTGTGTGATATATATATATATATATATATATATATAT